GCCTATGCTAACCTTGACTTCTTAACCTTCGACAGCCTTTCACCTTTGTCTGGATTCCTAGCCTATCTGTGTCGTTTCGAGATGTTAGCGAGTAACCCTCTAAATGGTTGTCCCCAATGCAACATCTAACAAAGATATCCTGAAACCGCGTGCCGCGTTCAAGCTGGCCACCTACAATGTTCGGACGCTGATGCAAATCGGACAACAGGCAGGGTTGGCAAGAACTTTGGAAAGCCTCGCTATCGATGTCTGCTGCATTTCGGAGACCCGCATTCAAGATCCCAGTGAAGTGCTTCGACTATCCTCTCCATCTGGAAGTTCTAGTAGTATGTACCACCTGCGCTTATCCGGGGACCCTGTGGCGTCGGCATCCGGCGTAGCTGGTGTCGGTGTCGCACTGAGCGCTAGAGCCGAAGCTGCACTGCTCGACTGGATTCCCATTAACAGTCGTTTATGTGCTGTGAGGCTGGAAGGTTATACGAAAGTAAGGAGTAGTAGGCCAGATAGGCGGTGTCTGTTTTCTCTGCCTATGCACCGACGGATTGCAGCAATGAAGGATGAGTTCTACTACCAACTGAGCGATCTCTTGAAACAGGCGGGTCGGAGGGATATCGTAGTGCTGGCTGGGGACTTGAATGCACAGGTCGGGCGTCTAAGCTCAGAGGAGAATCGTCTAGGTGGTCAGTGGGGACTACATGGTCGCAGGTCAGATAATGGGGACCGTCTTCTGCAGCTTTGCGCGGATCACAACCTATTTCTAGCCAGCACCAACTTCCGGCACAGCCATCGCCGTAGCGCTACCTGGCGTCCTCCCTCTGCGAAGCAAGCTTGGACTCAGATTGATCATATTGCGGTCAGTTTCCGGTGGCGAGGATGCATACAAGACTGTCGCTCCTTCTGGAGCACATGCCTGGACTCCGATCATGCGTTAGTGTGTGCCAAGTTCGTCTTGCGATTTGGTGGGGTTCGTAAAAGCCGTCGTCTAAGCGTTGATGTGAGCAAACTAGTAGCACCTGCTACTTCTTTGAAATATCAGAATGAGTTAAAAACAATGCTTGCCAGCAACCCCCAAGTAGTATAGATGAACATTGGCTTCATGTGCAAGGTGCCATGCAAAAGGCGAGTGTAGCTGCTTGAAAGAATGCTCCGCTAACAACCACTGGGTTTCTGCGAGTTCCTTGCAACTCCTGGATGAACGCCGGTCCATTCCGGCTGGCAGCGAATACAACAATCAGCGAAAGGCGCTCACGCGCAAGATTAGACAGTGTTTACGTAAGGACCGCGAAGCCTGGTGGTCAGAACGTGCGTGTGAGATGGAGTCAGCTGCTGCATCTGGCAACAGTCGGAAGCTGTTCCAACTCATCTCAGCCACCGGCAGCAAGAAACAAGGTGTCAGCGAGACGGTCTGTGAGGCAGATGGCACGCCAATTACCAGCCTGAAAAGACGCCTGGAACGCTGGGCAGAGCACTTCGGGAAGCAGTTCAGCTGGCCACCAGCTTCAGTGTCTACTATCATTAGCCCGAGTGCTCCTTGGTCGGTTAGTACCGACCCACCCACCGAAGCGGAGGTCCGTAAGGAACTCCAAGTGTTGAAACGCCATAAGGCGCCCGGCCCAGACAAATTACCCCCGGCTCTTTTTAAAGATGGTGGCGAGACTCTCACAATGGCTCTAACTGGGTTGTTCAGGAAGGTATGGGAGACAGAGAGTGTACCATCAATTTGGAACGAAGCCATTATCGTCCCCATCTTTAAAAAGAGTCAGTCTGCTACCAGTCACGTCTAAAATATTGGCTGCTGTTTTGCTTCGCAAGCTGTGCAAAATACGTGAGGGATTGATTCGCGAATAGCAGGCTGGGTTTCGTTCAGGTCGTGGATGCATTGATCATATGTTCACCTTCACCGCCACAGGTATTGCAGGCCAACGATCGTTGTTTTTCTTGATATTAAGGCTGCCTTTGATTCGTTGGGCAGAACTGTGCTCTGGAACTGTCTGTTAGAGAGAGGTGTACCTGAGAAATTTGTTAACATCTTGAAAGCCCTATACAGAAACACCTCGGGTAGAGTGAGGGCATACAACCAACTATCATCACTGTTCCCAACCAACAGTGGGATTAGACAGGGTTGCCCAATCTCTCCATTTCTCTTTAACTTTGCCATCGATGACATTCTGGAGTCGGCTCTGAAGGATGTGCGTGAAGGTGGTGTAGATCTGCTCCCCGGAAGTAGACTTTTCGGCCTTGAGTATGCAGACGATATCGTCTTACTGTGCGATAGCATGTAGGCTGCCCGAATCGCACTTAACCAGTTGGTGATCAGTGTCTGTAAGTATGGTATGTGCTTTGCGCCATCTAAGTGAAAAGTACTGTTACAAGATTGGCAGGAGCTTGTACCTACACTCACACTTGCAGGTGAACTGCTTGAAGTTTTCGATAAGTTTGTGTATTTGGATAGTTGTGTGATTGCTGGTGGGGGAGTGATGGATGAGATTTCCAACCATATCATGAAGGCTATGGTGGCATACATCAACTTGAGCCAACTCTGGCGTCGTCGCGACGTTAGCTTGGCTGTCAAAGGTCGGGTATACAATGCTTCAGTAGTGGTTGTCTTTCCCTACGCCTGTGAAACCTGGCCTCTCCGAGCTTAGGAAGGGCGGCGGCTTCGCGTATCCGATCATCGCTGTCTCCACAGGATTGATTGCGTTCGATAGCATCACTGCGTGAATAACTCTGAGGTTCGACGGTGTGTGTTTGAACACAGTGGAGGTCACCATTCATTGAGTGTCGTCATATGGAAACACCACCTCCGGTGGCTTGAATACGTGCTGCGAATGTCATCCCAAAGGCTTCCGTACAGGTCTCTGTTCGCTAGCCCTGGGACGGGATGGAAAAGACGGAGGGGTGGTCAGTCCATGACGTGACGTCGTGGGGTGAGGGAATTTTGTGCTAGATTAGCATCGGTTGGTGCGTCACGACTCCCTGGTTGAAGTCCGCGAGATAGCTCGAAACGTTATCGGATACGGCCAAGAATCGTATTCAATGGCGAACATATTTCAATTTCCTTCTTTCTTCCTTTCCTGATGATAGTTAACGAATACTGTTTAGACTTGTTGAGCATGACTGTTTTCCTTCCAGATGAAGTTCTTTATCCGTTTTCTACTTACATTTTTACTTCTAACCTATGTTGTTTTATTATTATTGTGTGGCGCATCTTTCTTGGTGCCATACTGTACCAAGTTTTTTCTGCGTTTAAATAATAGTAATAATAGTAGTAGTACATTTTATCACTCAACTGTCACTGCCTGAAGTGATGAATCCAGTCTTCATATTGCTCCACCTGCGAATTATGAAGAGAATGACATTTATAATCCATAACTGGTTTGCTTTTAATCTTCATATTGTTATTATCTGTGTAGTGGGAAATACAACACTCTAACGACAGTTTAGAGGTAATTTACGTTTAATTAATTTTTTTTGATTTTTGATTACAGCTTGATGCCACACCGTATTTTTGGTACAAGTATGGAATTTTCAGCATGGATATCGGTAGCCCAAATTTTGCAGGCCGACCATAGATATCAGGTGTGCGTTGGCAGGGGATCGAACCTCGGACCATGTGCATGGTCGGCGAAAGTCCTAACCACTGCGCCACCGACGCTTCTTGAAATTAATTTCTATTCTACATTGTGCAGTGCAGCTTCAGAACAACCACAATCTTGTACAATACCGTAACTTCACAATAACTTAACTGATCCACTAACTCTCTTATTGTGAAGTTATGGTCGTTTTATCATAACTACTGAATATTTTTATTTTGATAAATCACACAGTGTTGTACAGTTATATGAACTGATGACGTTCCGAGCACAAACTATTGCTCATAATCATATCAAGTTGATATGAGCAATAAGTTGTGCTCGAAACGTGGTCATCAGTTCATATAACTGTACAACACTGTGTGATTTATCAAAATAAAATCTTATCTATAATAGAGTTATACTTTACCACAGTGCCCAAGTTTTATACTTATATCACTGAATATGTTTCTTAGTCGAAATGACGACGGGTGAAATTCACCCACTACGTATATAACTATTGTGATGGAATGATACTGGGTTGTGGGTTCCGTCTAACTTAACTGGAATGCACCTACGGGACACAACACTATTACTAAATGATCCCTTGAAAATATCTCCCACACTGAGATAAACAAAAAAGTCAGACTGGAAAAAAAGACGACTCTTATAAAATAAAATACAAAGTCCGTGTTAGTTTGTAGGGATTTGATTGGTTACAGGATTTGATCATGAGCTGACGTTAGTTAGAGGACCATTGGAAAACCTGGGAGTACTGGATAGCTGTTTCATCATAGTTTGGAACTCTTCAGCAGTACGCACCCACCGGCGCTCGAACTTACAACCTTCTGGTTACGAGCTCGCCTTACGTGCAAAACATTCAGGAATTAGGGCAATAATTAAACAAATATGAATTGTTATCTGATATCGAAAATCCATCAGAAAATTAAGTCATAAATAAATAAATCAAACCTGTCCAGTAAGGTTATCATGTCAGGTGTATGCATAAGACATGACTTCACGGTTGACAGAGAAGCTTATCCGTCTTAACACTTATAATGCCTGCTTCAGCTGTAATTATTTCGTTATCGTTTTTTCATATTTTACAGGATCTAAGACTGTTATCAATAAAGACTAAAAAAAAGACTGATTTTCAGGCATTAAACAGAAACAAAGTAAATAGAGTCTGTGAAATACGGTTGTCTTCGAGTCAACTCAATTAGCTAAAATGTGAATAAATCAATAAATCAGATTATTAACGTTCATATAAATAACAACTGTGGCAAACAACTCTACTGAATTCTGATTCAGAACACACTTATAACTGTGATATAACATTGTTAATGATAACATCAAACTTTTATTGTTATGTTGAAAAGAGATTAAGATTCTGAGACTTATTGACAGTGTTTCTGTTTTACACTTCAGCCTTGATTACGGGAAATCCTGTTCAGGCATTGCTAAAGCGTTCTTGGGTATATTCAGACACATATAATTGTGAGAAGGTCTATAGCTGTTTCAACACGAAAACATGCCATGAAAGATACAGTTCAACGGATTATTTCTGTGCAAATATATATCCCTGTGGATCATCGTGTGCGCCAAATGGATATCGTGTAAGTCTGTGAAAATATTTCATAATACTTTATTATCTATACTCCTTCATTTGTTGATATTAGTCATTAGACTGACAGTCCCGTATTACATCACTTTCCGAAAAAGAATTCGGAAGTACGACATAAGATGTCATTACCCTGTCCTCATCAAATCTCCATCTCAACAATCACAAAACTCACTGCATTGCTGTGTGTATCACTATTTGAACAAACAACACTAGAAATCACCGAAATTACTTAATTATTTTTAATTCATGATTAATTCCCATCCAGGGTCTTATTCCGGCGAATTCATATTCTTTGATGTACAATCGCAAATATTTATGACTTATTTTGTATGTATGTGTACATTCAGTTTGTCAAACAAAAATACAATTAGTTATGGTTATTTTAGCTAAACAGGTGAAAGTTAGAAAGATTTCGGTAGAGCTGTGTATACAAAAGAGAATCATTAAACCACTTCTACTATCATGGTAACAACTTTCTTGAATTTTGATGACTGACTGAATTTCGTTTGTTCGCCCGTTTCTCCAATTGCTTATAATTCTCGTATTCATGTCGAACTCTCACGTGATTTCATATTCTCTACTTTGTTCATATGTGTGTCCTGAGTAAAACACTCAATCATCAAAAAAAGTTCATATTATTACACAACTCCTCTTTAACAACCGTTTGTGACAACTCATCACTCTTGTTGCTACACTAGTTTCATCAACATCCAATGTTCTTGACCGTTTCTGTATTGTGTAACTCTACCCGAAACTTACTCATTTTCACCTGTTTAGCTGAAATAACCATGACTAATTGTATGTTTGTTTGACAAACTGAATGTACACATACATACAAAATAAGTCATAAATATTTACGATTGTACAGCAAAGAGAATGAATTCGCCGAAAAGACACTCTTCGCTGAACTATCAGATGTTCTAAGATAGAGCTGCGCGGGCGTTCCCTTTCTCCTTTGTAAAACCATGTTGGTAAGTGTTCGGTGATACGCTTGGAAAGCGAACGCTGGGTACAGCCGACATACCTGGCTCCACACGAGCAGGTGAATTGATAAATACACATTGATGAGTCCAGCGGCGGTAGCTGATCCTTCATGTTCACGTGAATCATAGGTTTTGTGGAGAAGGTTAGTCGTAGTTCAGCTGTGAAGAAGGTCTTCTTAAGTGAGCGCGACAGTCGATTGTTTAGTGTTTCCCCAGATATATCTCCATTGAATTGAAGGTTCATGTAGAGTAGTTTTTTCGGGACGCTTAGCATGGGCGGCTTTTGTGATCTAGGATTGATAGATTTCGCAATAAATCTTTCTGGATAACAATTCTCGACGAGGATTCTCTTGAGATTGTCCAATTCATCTTCTATGGTGTCCGCCGTGCAAATTATGCGAACTGTGTAGCTGAGTGAACAGATCAGGTTTCGTTTGGTGTATAGGGGTACCCAGATGGGAAAGGTAGTAAACTGTCCGTTCCACGTCGACTTTCTATGGATAGATCTTTTCAGTGTTCCATCCTGTTCTCGTCTTGCTTGTTGGATATCAAGAAAGGATATTTTGTAGTTGGACACTTTCTCCAGCGTGAACTGAATCGCAGGGGGCAGTTGTTAAACGACTTCAGGATGTCGGCTAGATTTCCTTCATTGTTGACGATAATGAAAGTGTCGTCAACGTATCTCCTATAGATTTCAAAGGCATTGATCATTTCCTTCAGGCATGTGTTTTTAAGTTTTGGCATGAAGAAATCTGCAAGCAATGGGCCTAGTGGTGAGCCCATAGCTATACCATCCTTTCGGTGATGTATTCCGTTGTTGAAAGATAATTGAACATTCAGGGTACATCTCATCAAACTTACTAACTGAATCTTACTTTAGTTGCTGTCTGATTAATCTTGTTTCTAAATTAGATCATTTTTGTATTACCTGATTACCTATCTAAACTTGACAAATCTCATTTACAAACACACACACACAAATAATTATATATAAATGGGATTGTACAGCTATGTGAATGAATTCGTCGAAAAGAGTCTCTTCGTTGAACCCCTTCTCTTTTTCATATGACTCAATGAGGATTTTCAAGCTACTCAAACGTTGCAAGGACCCAGTGGTAGTGAAGGAGCTGGATGGTTTCCTGCGTTACTCCGTCAAGCTTGAGGTAGAGAAGACAAAGATTGATTTCTTAGGAGATTGTATAGATCGACATGAGTATTCAAAGATGTATTTGAAGTCACTCAGGCGCAACCACATCCAACCGAATACCAGAACACTCAGACGACACACCCGAAACTTACTAACTTTCACCTGTTTAGCTAAAATAACCATAACTTATTGTATTTTTGTTTGACAAACTGAATGTACACATACATACAAAATAAGTCATAAATATTTACGATTGTACAGAAAAGAGAATGAATTCGCCGAAAAGACACTCTTCGGTGATCTATGTATTTTGTTTTCATGAATTATTTTTAACATGTTCTATATCTCATGTTTCGAAAGGAATGTTTTCAGTCGAAGTAGGGTAATAAGCACTTGCCATTCTGTTACATAGAAAGTTCAAAAACAAGTTTTTTTATAAAGAAGATTTTACTAGGTAAATACTCTTATCATTAGAACCTCCATAGCCATCCTCCCTGTTGTCTAGAATGCCTTACATCACTTTCTGTCGTCAAGATAAATACTGTTAACTAACGTATCTTTGAGTAAAATTTAGCCTAATATGATTCCATCATAGCGTGGAAGACAGTTTGAACATTAAATTTCAAGTACTGTCTACCAGTAGTAGTGAAGTTTAGTGAAATACCTTCATGGCGATTAGAGAATTCCCTAACACCAGATCAACAGGACCAGTCAATCTGAAGCCACTGACTTAGACTTGTTTTGACACTTACTATTGAAAGTTCCAGTGTAGCCTGATATCAGTACATTTACTGAATATACAGAACTTTCACGAAGGGTTTTGAAATTCATGTCGATGTTTTGTAGTCGTGACATTTGAGGGGTGTAATTTAATTTAGAAAAACTCTCATCATCCTTCTGGACAAAATGTTGAGCTGTGACTTCAATTTAAATGAAATGCATTCATTACTCTAAGGGTTTATAACGTTTTTTTTTAAATTTTACAAGTGTTTATATCAACAAGTCAATTGATTCTTTAAATCCAACGACAACCACATGTTTTGATTGGACACTTAAGTTAGTTAGTAATTCGTATAATGCGTCTAGTCCTCTGTTTGCTGCAGACTGAATTATATCCTGCCAATCGCCTGCGACCAACTAAGTATCGAAAAACACACACGTATCATGATACCCCTAGTAATATTGTGAATACTTGGTTTAGCAAATATTTATTTCCAACTAATGCTAAAAAAAACACTTGAGGTGAAGGTAAGTTGTAAATAATTTCAATTATTGGTTTGTCGTACTATTGGTGAAACACAATAATAGTGTTTGTGAGTTTTTTAATGTACACAAATCTCCTGCATTAAAAAACTTTTATTGAGGAAGTGGTATTCCTCTGTTTAGTCACCAAAAACAGGAAATTGAACTATATGAGCACGGTGTTCCAGGTTATTCTCATAAAGCAACTAGCATATGCATGTCTTTGAAGTGATCTGTTAGTAGTGATTCATCTTTCTGTCCTATGCAGGGGTTGAGTGAGAATAGGAGACGTCCATAATAAGATATGCAGTAGTTATGCTAATTTGAAATAAACACTCGTATCTAGCTCATTAAATACAAAATGTAAAACAATAGTGATTGATGGATTATCAAATTAAAGTAGAATGGAAATTTTTATTCATTAAAATACGGTTGAATACTCTTCTCTCGGTCACAGTACACTTATCTGTAACGAAAAAAAAAATATGTATGCATAACTTGAATCCAACAAGATTATAATTACACAGAAAGTGAAAATAAATTTGACAATTTGGAATTTCCAAATTCCCATTTACACATTTAGGAAAGAAAACAAAACGTTGAGCGAAGAAATATGCCATTCCATTTCAATTAGTTTCTCATCATCAGCTCTACACTAATATATAGTTGTTTTTTCTACACCGAAATTTTTTACGAACCAAGCGGTTATTTCAGTTAGTCAGTTTTATGTCAGACGTTAAAGGTCATCAAAACAAATAACTAATAGATGTTAGTAACAAGATATCTAAGTTTTAAAAGAGGGGTGAAAATTAATTACGGAATTCAAGATAAGTTGATTGTTAGGCATCGGCAACAAGTTATTACACAACCAATACGTTTGTAAAATAGCAGTGATGACTATGGAGAATAGGATGACTCAGAAGAACTACATAAAATACAAACAAACAAGTTGATAGAACTAGCTAGAATTGTAAGAAATCAACAAAATCAAAAGATAGTTACAAGGGGAGGCGAAAAATTCGTTTTTAAAAGCTTAACACATATTATGTAGTAGGCATAATCGAATGAAGCAGGAAAAAAGAGTCAGCTTGTACATCAACAAAGAGCATTCTAAAATACACAACAGAAGCTGAAAGGAGGATAGGAGAATGAATAGTCTGGAATTAGGGAGCAGTAATAGTCGTTGTCGGTGGTGTAGCTGTAGAATGCTCGTCAACCAAATATATGGTCCGAGTTTCGATTACCGGTCGATAGTAAGCCCGGAAAAGAGGGAAGGTTGGGCTTGAGACTAGTAACCCCACACTGTAAAAATAAAAATACTGCTATTTAAACTCCAAATGAACTAAATAAATAAATAAATAGGTAATAACGACATATCAAAGAGAGTAAGATGAAAAGAATTAATAGAACAAGAAGAGTTTTTTGAAATGTATATATATATATATATATATATATATATACATGTATATATATATCAGAAGGAAGAGTCAACCAGACCTATGAAATGAAGTAGTCACAATTAAGGTGGGGAACAGTAGTTAAACGTATCACGATACCATGAGATTGATGAAAGAATATGTTCAAATGCATTGGCTAGATCTGACATCAACAACAGCGAGTGATTAAAATTAATTAAGATTTATTATTATTTGTTAGCTACTGATTCCCATAGGTTTCACATGTTGATTTCACTTTGTGTATTGATTGAATTGATGCTGAAAGAAGTCCGGTTATTGAACACTCATGATCTGTTCACTTTTATAATCTTCAAAATATGCCTAGAGGTACTGCTCAAAGCTGTGTTTTAACTCTCTTCGTGGGTAGATACTATATAACTTGACAAACTTTATGTCGTCAGTTGTTGAATTGGATGGAATTTCCGCTAAGCGTATATCAGCTTGAAGGCAGACAGATTCAAATAGCTGACAATTGAACATCTTTATTCGATTTATTCTTTTCGAAAAACAAAGGTCAGACGTTTTCTGAAACCTGCTGAACATATTTCTCTGTATTATCAACTTGACAATGTTCCAAAAATTAGTTGTCACTAGAAAGTTCTCTCCTTCTACGATATACTTTTGCATACAGAGTAGTTGGTATTTTAATTATTGTCCATAAAACTGTAAAGAACTTCTTACAAAAATTCAGTTCTGAATCTGTTCATCTCTATAGGATTGTATATATATTATGGTTTAGGAAGTGAGGATTACATACATTCACTTTTTTAAATGTTGTAACAGTAAAATGGAAATTTCAGTGTAGTTAATGCATTTTACCAAAAATAATATTCCAGTGGTCATGAGATTCATAAGCCAATTAACAAGAATATATTGATCAACTAACCAGCTGATGACTGGTGGAATGAATCAACTTAACGAAATGTAATCGAAGTAAAATTATACATTCTGCTTACACATTTAAGACTTTCGCATACACTATTTAGTAAAGCGGTTAGGTCAACCAATAACAGCTTCCTATGGGGGAATCAAACGATGTCATTTATCGTCTTCCCTGTGTTTGAAAGTAATTTAAGCTTTTAACATTTCTGTTGACTGGAGATGAACTGTACAATCTGAAGAGAATCCTCGTCGAGAATTGTTATCCAGAAAGATTTATTGCGAAATCTATCAATCCTAGATCACAAAAGCCGCCCATGCTAAGCGTCCCGAAAAAACTACTCTACATGAACCTTCAATTCAATGGAGATATATCTGGGGAAACACTAAACAATCGACTGTCGCGCTCACTTAAGAAGACCTTCTTCACAGCTGAACTACGACTAACCTTCTCCACAAAACCTATGATTCACGTGAACATGAAGGATCAGCTACCACCGCTGGACTCATCAATGTGTATTTATCAATTCACCTGCTCGTGTGGAGCCAGGTATGTCGGCTGTACCCAGCGTTCGCTTTCCAAGAGTATCACCGAACACTTACCAACATGGTTTTACAAAGGAGAAAGGGAACGCCCGCGCAGCTCTATCTTAGAACATCTGATAGTTCAGCGAAGAGTGTCTTTTCGGCGAATTCATTCTCTTTGCTGTACAATCGTAAATATTTATGACTTATTTTGTATGTATGTGTACATTCAGTTTGTCAAACAAAAATACAATTAGTTATGGTTATTTTAGCTAAACAGGTGAAAGTTAGAAAGATTTCGGTAGAGCTGTGTATACAAAAGAGAATCATTAAACCACTTCTACTATCATGGTAACAACTTTCTTGAATTTTGATGACTGACTGAATTTCGTTTGTTCGCCCGTTTCTCCAATTGCTTATAATTCTCGTATTCATGTCGAACTCTCACGTGATTTCATATTCTCTACTTTGTTCATATGTGTGTCCTGAGTAAAACACTCAATCATCAAAAAAAGTTCATATTATTACACAACTCCTCTTTAACAACCGTTTGTGACAACTCATCACTCTTGTTGCTACACTAGTTTCATCAACATCCAATGTTCTTGACCGTTTCTGTATTGTGTAACTCTACCCGAAACTTACTCATTTTCACCTGTTTAGCTGAAATAACCATGACTAATTGTATGTTTGTTTGACAAACTGAATGTACACATACATACAAAATAAGTCATAAATATTTACGATTGTACAGCAAAGAGAATGAATTCGCCGAAAAGACACTCTTCGCTGAACTATCAGATGTTCTAAGATAGAGCTGCGCGGGCGTTCCCTTTCTCCTTTGTAAAACCATGTTGGTAAGTGTTCGGTGATACGCTTGGAAAGCGAACGCTGGGTACAGCCGACATACCTGGCTCCACACGAGCAGGTGAATTGATAAATACACATTGATGAGTCCAGCGGCGGTAGCTGATCCTTCATGTTCACGTGAATCATAGGTTTTGTGGAGAAGGTTAGTCGTAGTTCAGCTGTGAAGAAGGTCTTCTTAAGTGAGCGCGACAGTCGATTGTTTAGTGTTTCCCCAGATATATCTCCATTGAATTGAAGGTTCATGTAGAGTAGTTTTTTCGGGACGCTTAGCATGGGCGGCTTTTGTGATCTAGGATTGATAGATTTCGCAATAAATCTTTCTGGATAACAATTCTCGACGAGGATTCTCTTGAGATTGTCCAATTCATCTTCTATGGTGTCCGCCGTGCAAATTATGCGAACTGTGTAGCTGAGTGAACAGATCAGGTTTCGTTTGGTGTATAGGGGTACCCAGATGGGAAAGGTAGTAAACTGTCCGTTCCACGTCGACTTTCTATGGATAGATCTTTTCAGTGTTCCATCCTGTTCTCGTCTTGCTTGTTGGATATCAAGAAAGGATATTTTGTAGTTGGACACTTTCTCCAGCGTGAACTGAATCGCAGGGGGGCAGTTGTTAAACGACTTCAGGATGTCGGCTAGATTTCCTTCATTGTTGACGATAATGAAAGTGTCGTCAACGTATCTCCTATAGATTTCAAAGGCATTGATCATTTCCTTCAGGCATGTGTTTTTAAGTTTTGGCATGAAGAAATCTGCAAGCAATGGGCCTAGTGGTGAGCCCATAGCTATACCATCCTTTCGGTGATGTATTCCGTTGTTGAAAGATAATTGAACATTCAGGGTACATCTCATCAAACTTACTAACTGAATCTTACTTTAGTTGCTGTCTGATTAATCTTGTTTCTAAATTAGATCATTTTTGTATTACCTGATTACCTATCTAAACTTGACAAATCTCATTTACAAACACACACACACAAATAATTATATATAAATGGGATTGTACAGCTATGTGAATGAATTCGTCGAAAAGAGTCTCTTCGTTGAACCCCTTCTCTTTTTCATATGACTCAATGAGGATTTTCAAGCTACTCAAACGTTGCAAGGACCCAGTGGTAGTGAAGGAGCTGGATGGTTTCCTGCGTTACTCCGTCAAGCTTGAGGTAGAGAAGACAAAGATTGATTTCTTAGGAGATTGTATAGATCGACATGAGTATTCAAAGATGTATTTGAAGTCACTCAGGCGCAACCACATCCAACCGAATACCAGAACACTCAGACGACACACCCGAAACTTACTAACTTTCACCTGTTTAGCTAAAATAACCATAACTTATTGTATTTTTGTTTGACAAACTGAATGTACACATACATACAAAATAAGTCATAAATATTTACGATTGTACAGAAAAGAGAATGAATTCGCCGAAAAGACACTCTTCGGTGATCTATGTATTTTGTTTTCATGAATTATTTTTAACATGTTCTATATCTCATGTTTCGAAAGGAATGTTTTCAGTCGAAGTAGGGTAATAAGCACTTGCCATTCTGTTACATAGAAAGTTCAAAAACAAGTTTTTTTATAAAGAAGATTTTACTAGGTAAATACTCTTATCATTAGAACCTCCATAGCCATCCTCCCTGTTGTCTAGAATGCCTTACATCACTTTCTGTCGTCAAGATAAATACTGTTAACTAACGTATCTTTGAGTAAAATTTAGCCTAATATGATTCCATCATAGCGTGGAAGACAGTTTGAACATTAAATTTCAAGTACTGTCTACCAGTAGTAGTGAAGTTTAGTGAAATACCTTCATGGCGATTAGAGAATTCCCTAACACCAGATCAACAGGACCAGTCAATCTGAAGCCACTGACTTAGACTTGTTTTGACACTTACTATTGAAAGTTCCAGTGTAGCCTGATATCAGTACATTTACTGAATATACAGAACTTTCACGAAGGGTTTTGAAATTCATGTCGATGTTTTGTAGTCGTGACATTTGAGGGGTGTAATTTAATTTAGAAAAACTCTCATCATCCTTCTGGACAAAATGTTGAGCTGTGACTTCAATTTAAATGAAATGCATTCATTACTCTAAGGGTTTATAACGTTTTTTTTTAAATTTTACAAGTGTTTATATCAACAAGTCAATTGATTCTTTAAATCCAACGACAACCACATGTTTTGATTGGACACTTAAGTTAGTTAGTAATTCGTATAATGCGTCTAGTCCTCTGTTTGCTGCAGACTGAATTATATCCTGCCAATCGCCTGCGACCAACTAAGTATCGAAAAACACACACGTATCATGATACCCCTAGTAATATTGTGAATACTTGGTTTAGCAAATATTTATTTCCAACTAATGCTAAAAAAAACACTTGAGGTGAAGGTAAGTTGTAAATAATTTCAATTATTGGTTTGTCGTACTATTGGTGAAACACAATAATAGTGTTTGTGAGTTTTTTAATGTACACAAATCTCCTGCATTAAAAAACTTTTATTGAGGAAGTGGTATTCCTCTGTTTAGTCACCAAAAACAGGAAATTGAACTATATGAGCACGGTGTTCCAGGTTATTCTCATAAAGCAACTAGCATATGCATGTCTTTGAAGTGATCTGTTAGTAGTGATTCATCTTTCTGTCCTATGCAGGGGTTGAGTGAGAATAGGAGACGTCCATAATAAGATATGCAGTAGTTATGCTAATTTGAAATAAACACTCGTATCTAGCTCATTAAATACAAAATGTAAAACAATAGTGATTGATGGATTATCAAATTAAAGTAGAATGGAAATTTTTATTCATTAAAATACGGTTGAATACTCTTCTCTCGGTCACAGTACACTTATCTGTAACGAAAAAAAAAATATGTATGCATAACTTGAATCCAACAAGATTATAATTACACAGAAAGTGAAAATAAATTTGACAATTTGGAATTTCCAAATTCCCATTTACACATTTAGGAAAGAAAACAAAACGTTGAGCGAAGAAATATGCCATTCCATTTCAATTAGTTTCTCATCATCAGCTCTACACTAATATATAGTTGTTTTTTCTACACCGAAATTTTTTACGAACCAAGCGGTTATTTCAGTTAGTCAGTTTTATGTCAGACGTTAAAGGTCATCAAAACAAATAACTAATAGATGTTAGTAACAAGATATCTAAGTTTTAAAAGAGGGGTGAAAATTAATTACGGAATTCAAGATAAGTTGATTGTTAGGCATCGGCAACAAGTTATTACACAACCAATACGTTTGTAAAATAGCAGTGATGACTATGGAGAATAGGATGACTCAGAAGAACTACATAAAATACAAACAAACAAGTTGATAGAACTAGCTAGAATTGTAAGAAATCAACAAAATCAAAAGATAGTTACAAGGGGAGGCGAAAAATTCGTTTTTAAAAGCTTAACACATATTATGTAGTAGGCATAATCGAATGAAGCAGGAAAAAAGAGTCAGCTTGTACATCAACAAAGAGCATTCTAAAATACACAACAGAAGCTGAAAGGAGGATAGGAGAATGAATAGTCTGGAATTAGGGAGCAGTAATAGTCGTTGTCGGTGGTGTAGCTGTAGAATGCTCGTCAACCAAATATATGGTCCGAGTTTCGATTACCGGTCGATAGTAAGCCCGGAAAAGAGGGAAGGTTGGGCTTGAGACTAGTAACCCCACACTGTAAAAATAAAAATACTGCTATTTAAACTCCAAATGAACTAAATAAATAAATAAATAGGTAATAACGACATATCAAAGAGAGTAAGATGAAAAGAATTAATAGAACAAGAAGAGTTTTTTGAAATGTATATATATATATATATATATATATATATATATACATGTATATATATATCAGAAGGAAGAGTCAACCAGACCTATGAAATGAAGTAGTCACAATTAAGGTGGGGAACAGTAGTTAAACGTATCACGATACCATGAGATTGATGAAAGAATATGTTCAAATGCATTGGCTAGATCTGACATCAACAACAGCGAGTGATTAAAATTAATTAAGATTTATTATTATTTGTTAGCTACTGATTCCCATAGGTTTCACATGTTGATTTCACTTTGTGTATTGATTGAATTGATGCTGAAAGAAGTCCGGTTATTGAACACTCATGATCTGTTCACTTTTATAATCTTCAAAATATGCCTAGAGGTACTGCTCAAAGCTGTGTTTTAACTCTCTTCGTGGGTAGATACTATATAACTTGACAAACTTTATGTCGTCAGTTGTTGAATTGGATGGAATTTCCGCTAAGCGTATATCAGCTTGAAGGCAGACAGATTCAAATAGCTGACAATTGAACATCTTTATTCGATTTATTCTTTTCGAAAAACAAAGGTCAGACGTTTTCTGAAACCTGCTGAACATATTTCTCTGTATTATCAACTTGACAATGTTCCAAAAATTAGTTGTCACTAGAAAGTTCTCTCCTTCTACGATATACTTTTGCATACAGAGTAGTTGGTATTTTAATTATTGTCCATAAAACTGTAAAGAACTTCTTACAAAAATTCAGTTCTGAATCTGTTCATCTCTATAGGATTGTATATATATTATGGTTTAGGAAGTGAGGATTACATACATTCACTTTTTTAAATGTTGTAACAGTAAAATGGAAATTTCAGTGTAGTTAATGCATTTTACCAAAAATAATATTCCAGTGGTCATGAGATTCATAAGCCAATTAACAAGAATATATTGATCAACTAACCAGCTGATGACTGGTGGAATGAATCAACTTAACGAAATGTAATCGAAGTAAAATTATACATTCTGCTTACACATTTAAGACTTTCGCATACACTATTTAGTAAAGCGGTTAGGTCAACCAATAACAGCTTCCTATGGGGGAATCAAACGATGTCATTTATCGTCTTCCCTGTGTTTGAAAGTAATTTAAGCTTTTAACATTTCTGTTGACTGGAGATGAACTGTACAATCTGAAGAGAATCCTCGTCGAGAATTGTTATCCAGAAAGATTTATTGCGAAATCTATCAATCCTAGATCACAAAAGCCGCCCATGCTAAGCGTCCCGAAAAAACTACTCTACATGAACCTTCAATTCAATGGAGATATATCTGGGGAAACACTAAACAATCGACTGTCGCGCTCACTTAAGAAGACCTTCTTCACAGCTGAACTACGACTAACCTTCTCCACAAAACCTATGATTCACGTGAACATGAAGGATCAGCTACCACCGCTGGACTCATCAATGTGTATTTATCAATTCACCTGCTCGTGTGGAGCCAGGTATGTCGGCTGTACCCAGCGTTCGCTTTCCAAGAGTATCACCGAACACTTACCAACATGGTTTTACAAAGGAGAAAGGGAACGCCCGCGCAGCTCTATCTTAGAACATCTGATAGTTCAGCGAAGAGTGTCTTTTCGGCGAATTCATTCTCTTTGCTGTACAATCGTAAATATTTATGACTTATTTTGTATGTATGTGTACATTCAGTTTGTCAAACAAACATACAATTAGTCATGGTTATTTCAGCTAAACAGGTGAAAATGAGTAAGTTTCGGGTAGAGTTACACAATACAGAAACGGTCAAGAACATTGGATGTTGATGAAACTAGTGTAGCAACAAGAGTGATGAGTTGTCACAAACGGTTGTTAAAGAGGAGTTGTGTAATAATATGAACTTTTTTTGATGATTGAGTGTTTTACTCAGGACACACATATGAACAAAGTAGAGAATATGAAATCACGTGAGAGTTCGACATGAATACGAGAATTATAAGCAATTGGAGAAACGGGCGAACAAACGAAATTCAGTCAGTCATCAAAATTCAAGAAAGTTGTTACCATGATAGTAAAAGTGGTTGAGTAATTCTCTTTTCTATGTACAGTTCCGGTTTTTCTATGTGAATTGCCAGAGCTTCAGCGATACAAAAATGAAACTGTATTGCCTTTGGTAGGTTATTCTTGACTTCGTAGATTACTTTGAAGGAGACGTTTGTTGAGATGGAATGATTAGTGTGAACCAGGTGCTCAATAATCGCACTCCTTATTGCATCACTATTGCTTTTTCGCAGCCATACTGGATAGTGTTCTTGAATCTTCTTGGACAGGATGCGCGTCGAACGACCGATGTACCTGGCTGCACAGCAGCAGGTGAACTGATATATGCACTCCGACCATAAAAAACGATCGTGTGAAAACTGATTTTAGCAGCTCTCTTAGTCCCAGGGCAGGTATTTGTGTGAGATTAAAGTAAAACTGAAGCAACCTGGAGTTCTAATGTGAAGTCAGGACTAATTGGGTACACCAAGTCAGATGAGAGGACAGTTATTGGAAGCGGACATTGGCTGGAAGTTGTCCTGTTTATCCCGAATTGGCAGAAGTTGGGATTACATCATGTCCTAGTGCGTGAGTAGCTTATCAACACGCCTTGTGACCGGAAAGTTTCGGGTTCAAACCCCGGTAGGTGCGTATTTTCACTCCAAACTAGCTGTCTAGTACTCCCTGAATTTGCAACGGCTTTCTAACTGACATCAGCTTGTGATCAAACCTATAACCAATCAAATCACTGGAAATCAACACCTGAGAACTGATTTAGCATAAGCATGGCTACTGAGGTAGAATCTGAACCAAGTTGTGCAAGGAGAATAATCCCATCGGATAACTTTTCATCCTCAATTCATAACCTTGGGCCAATCAGAACAGTCTACTGTCCGCTGACCTAGCCGACCTCTAATTTTGTTTAAAATGTATAAATACGATGCGCTCTTGCTCAATATAAAAGTCCGTTACCAATTCTCCAGACTTCAGTCATTATAGTAGTAAAGAACAACTGTAGTGGTCTCTTACATTTATGTATCAAGAATGCCATACACACCACCCTTAGGCTCAATGAAGTGTACTGCTCATCTGGCGAAAACATCCAAAGCTCATTATACACTTAGTAAAATGTAGATGCAAAGTTGAACTGTTTACTACTGTTGTAGACATGTTTATGAAAAGAAATCTTGAGTAACAACTGATTAAGCATAACAGGATAAATGATGGGTTGAATTTTATTTTTTAAAAAGTGTTTTTTTTAATAATAAATATGACACTGAATTTATATACTCAATAATAGTAATAACAATACTTTAAAAAAACTTTTATTCCTTAGAGTATTTTGCGGCCCTACGAACTTCTAAAAGAGTAGAGGACTATACACATGAACAATGGAAACCAAAACTCAAAAAAGAGAGACAGATTTGAAAATAAAACACAAATATAACTTTCTTCATAATTTATACAATGATGATTATTTTAACAAATAAAAGTAATGCAGCATATCATCCCTGACTTCTAACAAATATATCATCTTAAAATACAGAATAGCGTTAATGTACAGTAAGTTCGTAAAACTTCACCACTCCAGATAAGAATTTCAATAGACAAAAACTGACGAGATGAGATATACTTATTTCAACCCATCCTAACATACACTCGGTAAACATTGTCGAAAGTATCATGACGTGTATATTGCTGCATATCTAGCATCCTCGCAACACACACCACTGGTATATATTGAATTTAAGGGGGGGAAGACATTAACTGAACGAAGTAAACGCCTACAGTCTGAACCTACATTCTAACCACAATCATACACTAGGGTGAAAAAACTAAAGTTTTCGTGATTCCAAAATTACTACAGACAGTAAACTTCTTACATATCTAATGTAGTAGGGTAAAGAGATTATGACTTATACTTGACTTATACTTATACTTGAGATTATACTTGTACTTTTGGTACAAGTATGGAATTTTCAGCATGGATATCGGTAGCCCAAATTTTGCAGGCCGACCATAGATATCAGGTGTGCGTTGGCAGGGGATCGAACCTCGGACCATGTGCATGGTCGGCGAGAGTCCTAACCACTGTGCCACCGACGCACAGTATGGACTAACATGGATGCAGGTGCAAAGTACAGCAGAAGATAGAAGCAAGTGCAGACGTGAAGATGAAGCCCTATTTTGCACTAGGAACCCAAAGGAACAATAATAATAAAAAAAACATACAAATGAAATTAGGAACCAAGTAATTACGCATACTTTACATGATGAAATAAAATGAATCCAGATGTGGTCAGCCTAAAAAACATAGAGACCATGGAGTTCAAATCACCAATGACCTTGAAAGCATACCATTCTTTGGATTCCAGAATATTATTCCCCTTGAAATCCAAGTAGAACATAAGGCTTCAACAACACATATCCACTTTGTTATCTTTCCTACCATCATCTTCAGCAGGGTCTACGATTGACCAAACTCTCTCATCTCTTCTACACAAGATCTCCATGTCTCCCTAGCACTGACGACCCACTCGTCACTTCCTATTGAGATTCCACTAGAGGCCCTGACGCGCGATGTCATTAGATGGACTCCTCGGTGACGTAAGCTCGATCCATCTCTTTTTTCTCCTACATATTTGTTGAGCAATCGGCTCCTGCCTATTGGTTTGTTTCCACAGTTTCCACAGATCTTCATCACCTCAGTCTCCTCTATATTCACCTGGAGTCCTGTTTTCGCTGTTTTTACAGCCAGTTTGCTGCTTTTCGCCTGTAACCCTTCAAGTTTTTGGAATATTAGACATATATCACCTGGGAAGTCCAGATTATCTATAGTCTAATCACTGGTGGTTCCGCGAACTCCTGTCTCCTAGCTCATCACAATCTGACAAATAACCCAGCCCACCACAATTAAGAATATTATCTATGATAATATGCGGGGACCTTGTCTTACTCCTCTATTCATGATCCTGCAGGATGGAATTGGTTCCCACTGAAAAGGGGCTTTGGCCGCCACTGGTAACATCATGATGTCCACTCAGTGCCTCAGTGTGTTCGTGGTTGTCGCGTGGGGGTGACTAGATCGCAGTAGATCATTGACTCTCCAGTTGACAATTTTGACAGTCCACATCCATCCCATCTGCTCTCGCAGATTTCGATCACTTTAAGGGCATATCTTCGCATTTGTTTGATTACCTGAGCAGCCTTCCCAGTCTCGTACATTTTACGAATATTCCACGTTCCCATTCTTATTCTGGCTTTCATCGAGAGTAGACACATTGGCTGGCTGACTGGTTTCGCGAAAGCTTTCACTAACCCGCGTCATTTCTCCTCTACGTTTCCGGCGAAGAATAAGATCGTTCTTGAAATTTTTCGTATTATAGATATACATTTTTGTGTGTTGAAGTTTCTCTAGAGCTTTGATAGGATTAGTGGTGTAGGGTTGCTAGCTCTACGCCCAGCCGTACGTCTTTACAGAGGCTTGGACCGACTTGAAAACTAGCAAGCTAGTTAACTTAGGGAGGTTTCGGTTTACAGAACCTGCCATTATCGCATTGTCACCATCAACGGCGTTCACACGTTGATCCGCAAATTTCATACTGATCTTGTTTTAAGTGCTCTTGGGATAATGGTTTGATATCACTTTACAGTTAGGTGTAGTGTTAGGGTTTATATAGGAGAAATGGCAGCCTCCAAAATCTAACGAATAATATGTGTTCAGGGTCACTGGTGCGTTCACACTTTGTGGTTAATATTCTTTACGTTTGCCCCAGTTTCATTGAACATTGTTAACAACTAAAATCCGACCCAAAGAAATTCAGTCATTAGATTCTTAAATTAAACGTATAATTGATGCGTCAGAAGTATTGCACATTCAGAATAAATCATCCTGTGTGCCTTAGAAAGTAAATGACATACATTTACTCCATATAAGAACGAAATCTGTTTGAATATAAGGATATTCCAAAAGCATGTAATGACATTCAATAATAATATTATGGATTGCACACAATGTAAGGCGCGTCAAACTGTCAACTATCTCATGACTTAAAAATGTGTATATTTTTACGCCCTTAACTAATTCTTTAGCAAAATTGCCATGTTGATCATTCATGCGACGTGAGCACGGAAACTGATATGATAATCATGTAGTTATGCCCAATAGAAGCACTAATCTTAAAATGATTTAATCACTACTGTAACACTTAACTTCTTAGTCTTTATTAGCAGCTCGATTAGAGACTTCCGACGCTAAACAGGACTACAGTGTTTGGTTGGTGAAGTGCTTCCCAATATTATGCAATTCCATCTTCGTAATCATACACTTTTCCAATCAGTTTCCTTTAAACAGAAAGGCAGATGAACAGTTACTACTCTTCAACAAAATCACATAGCAGGCCGCATATTCGTTAACACTTATTAGGAAGGGTAAAATAATTAAAAATTTATTTCCAATTAATGGTGAGATTACATTGGGCACTGGAAAAGATGTTTATTGATACAATTAGAGACTTAAAAACATTTATCATAGACAATCATTTCTTTATTTAAGTCACAGAGACAGAAACCACTAGGGACGCAGTTCTGCGTGAATGTCAGTGTATCACTCAATTTATTTGACGTCATCAAGCCTTGTTTCTAATTTAGTAGGAACTCTCGAGATAAGGCGAAGTGCCGACTTTTAATCATGAACAAGCTGAAAATGTTTTCCTCCTGTTTTTATTAGACAGGCTAACTTAATATCAACATAAACATGTTTACTATCAACTCAGGGATTAGAGCATAAAAAATTAGTACGAAATGCAATTCGACCACAGCCTAGGAATAAGATTTAGCCGAAAAACCTGCATAACAAAATATCACTAAAATTTAGATAAATAACTCAAATTCTAACTACAACCTGTTTCTTTGCTCCCTCACTGGTTGCTGTAAATTTGATAAGGCTCTGCTATGGATTTCAGCTTCCTAGACTAGGATTACAGTAAACAAACCAGTTACCATTCCTCACTGCCAACTAAAATTTCGCCAGTAACTTGCAGATGTTGACGGACAACAGTCCCTTTTGAGATCCCAAACGACAAACTAAAAAGTACACCAGCGACCTATATATATGATGACCGTTTTCCTCTTAACATGGGTAGCTAACGTCAAATTTTTCATTTGAATGTCTTTAACTAACAATAGGAAATTTGAACTGCACAGTGTATTAAAAGCATTTACTTTATTTTTTGATGTGGTTGTGTTCTCTGAGCTGGATAGTTAATTTATGAAGCTTCCATTGCCCTACTAAGCAACATCTTCAGCGCATACTTCAATCTGAAGTGAGCTTTTAGATTCCGTCACGAGTTTATTAGTCACCTCTCGTGGTGACCTTGAACGTGACTGGTTGTTTTTGCAAGTTTCCACTCCTTCTAGGCTACTTGTATTGGAACTGATTGTTTCCTTGACTTAAGCTTTGGACCTATGTGTGTGAGATTTCTTTCTTATCGGTTGTTTATCTCAAAGTGTCTATTGATTGATGATTCACTGGAAAAATTCGCTAGAATTCTTGGTGTTTCCTCTGTCTAATATTTGAACGTTGTCCCAGTCGAATTGACGTCAGTGGTTGTCTGTATGTAATGATATGAGGGAGTGGATGTCACGTCTTTTGACGGCTAGCTTATGATCGTGGATACGAAAACGAAAGGGACGTCCCACTTTGGCAAATATAGAGAAAACAACTACATAAAAATCATCCACCTGAGCTACAAATCTTCTCCATCATACTTAATTGTTCTCCGGCAGTAGGATATTTTCCAGTTGAAATACTGAAATGACTTAATTCTCTTGTCGAAAGGTATTAAACTACTATCCTCCTTGTCTTTTCGGCCGTTTTGCTTTGGTAGATACCTATACACACTGCAACTACTTTAACTGTAACTGGTAAATCAAATTAAATACTGGATCTGTTTACGACAGCATCTAAATATTCAATCGAGTTAAACATTTACATGAACGAACACTGTCCAACGATGGAACAGAAGAAACGCTAAGCGAATCTCCTCAAAGGAATCCTGAGTCAACCACTAGCCGCAACGCATCGAGAGATACCACCCATGAAGACAAAACTACCGGTGGAAATAAGTCACCCTTAAAAAACAGAAGTCTCGAAAATATCACAGTTATTGAAAGACGAGAAAAGGATTAGGACCAGATGGAATCCACCCAAGAAGCAGTGAAAACGAAAGCACAAATGTCAGATGACATGTATACTACAGTACTGAAGGTGTGGGATGAAGGGAAGGTAGATTAAGAGAAAGACTGCCTTGTCAAACTAACAAAGAAGGATGACTTAAGCATACGCAGGAGATGGCGCAGTATCGTGCTTCTTTTAATTCTAAACAGAATACTCAGACGCAGAATTATTGAAAGGCTGAATGATGCTCAGGATGGAAAATTTGACCCAAAACAGGTTGGATTCAGGAAAAACAAGACATGCGCGAACTGAACTGCAACAATACACATTATCGAAGCGAGTCTACCGTGGTAGTGAGCTCTGCATTTCAACTTCGCCGACTTTCGTTAGTGTCCACAGTGAAGTATTTTGTTATCCTCGACAATATTAAATCCGCTGCCCAAAAACACTCATAAACCTCATTCAACAGGTACATCATGACGACACTGAACACCAAGTAATCCACAACTTCAAGCTCACCGAGGCGTTTGAAGTCAAGATCGGAGTAAGACAACACTGACTGATGACACCTATGACATTGGTAACAGTGAACATGTTGAGTGGAGTGACAAGAGCAATACGTTGGGCCGACAAAAGGACTCAAGATCTAGATTTCGCGGATGTTTTGTCTCATGTGGCACAAGTTCGAAAATTTACAAGTGAAAAACAACGAGTTGGCAGAAGAATCAGAGAAGGCAGGACTTCAAGTGAACACAGGGAAGATGAGAATATACCCAATCAACAGCAGCAAACAACTGGAAAAATCTAAAGGGAGTCGTCTCTCTTTTACCTGGTCGCCATCGTTTTAATTACAGACGCAGACAAGAGAGACATCATCATCATCAAGATGATTTCGTCGATAAACAAGATTTTCTTCGCTGAATTGTCTTTTATATTATAAATATTCAACCTTTTTACACCGAATACTTTGTTTACTTATATCATTTTTGGAATTATGTGTTGCCGATACTCTCTATCTGTAAGTCGAGAGTTACTGTGAAAATAGTGTGTTAAAAAATTGTGTAACTTGTATTTTGATATTATTTATGATGCGTGTGCTTGAAAAGAATCCACGAAATAAAACGAGTTCGTATTATCCTGCAAATATGTCCCTTCCTTCTTTGTTCAAACTGATAAAGCGAACCGGTTGTATAAGATGCTTAACATTTGTTGCCTAATATCCTTATTTATAGTCTTTGTCCAAACACAGTTTCTTAAGGTATCTAGCATATATAGATGACACACCATCATCGTTAAGTTCACTTTAACGAAGATATAAGCAGGGACGAATTATGTTAATTAGTAACAGGTGGAACAGCAAAATACTTCATCAACTGAAAATAGAATTCATAATATTGATCATTTAAATGGCAAAGTATTCAATGAACTCCGGTGTTGTCTGCATGTTACTTGTCACCTACAAAATCGATTAACTAGTATAGTACACAGGGTATCGTTCTTACAGTCAAAGAAGCACAGAAACAAATTAATATATAACTAATCACCAGGAAAAATTGCGAAATTTCAAATCTAGTCCAACTCACTAGTTTATTAACAAACAACTGGGTTTCCATTTGGTTCCGATTATTTTACTACTTTTATTACAAGCATTATCGGTTATACATTTACGTTGTTAGGTATCAACATGCATTACTATGCTATGTGGAGATTAGCAATCATGGAAAGAAACATTCAAACACTACAGTAGCTGACAGTTCAAAACGATAAAATATGACGATCAATCCGTGTATATGAACTCCAATCAAAACAATAGCAACGAAAACAATAAAGGTACATTTAATATGAACCAGTAGGTAATGGGGAATAATAGTTGTACAACTTCAGAGTCTTGGGTTTTTAATTTCTAAATACCAAAACGATGACATTTTATAATCTCCATTATAACCCAACAAACATCAGTTATTCCAGTGATGGTCAATTCAACACGCATACCATAAATACGGATTATTCTATTTCATCCTTAAACGATTAAAAATAAAACTGTCATTTGCACAGAATGTGTGTCTTAAACAAATGACTGAGATCAACACTATATCCCATAATTCAACTGAATAAGAACACAAATGAAGAAAGAAACAGAATAAATTCCTGCTGGTAAGCAGCCTACTTTTGGCTTTATGAAAGCCAGATTATTCTTCTGAAGAGGAGAATTATTAAGTAAATCGACAATATGAGGCTCCTTCTTGTATACAACAGCAAAAAGGGCATGAAAACAGAATTCAGTACATAGTACGAATAAATACAGTCCACTGTAAGGCACGCATTCAAAATAACATCGCATACAAGCACGTCAGTGCAGAAAAGTTGGCGTATTGAAAGAAGGAAGACGCCAAATAAGGTCAATTTACATGTATTGTATTAAATTATTTATATCATATTATATTATTGTCCTGTAGAAATAAAATGCTTTCTACCTTTATTTATTCATCTTCCGGCAAGATGTAGCAAGTCAAAGGATTCTTTGGCGTAATAAACAACATCTGGATCTGTATCGGAGCCCAATTTCTCAAGTGTTGGTTTGACATATGTTTGTATGGTGGATGCATCTAGAAGATGGCCAAGTTTGCCTAAAATCTGACCAACCTGATATAAACGAAAACATAAAAAACATATTCGGATGTTATTGTCATCATTGGAAAACATGAAAAAGTAGCAGTGAAAACAAATAACCAAAAACTTAAGTGCTATATACAATTCTCATGGGTTGAACACATGTGGTGCTATCAATTCGTTTAGTGACTCCCATCTATTTTAGTACATTGAAGGCGCCAATGTGACGTTGTATAACATTGTTCTAAAATTCTAGGAAATGTTTTATACGTTTAAATCGCTGTTAGGTTAGGCGAAGGAAGTGTACGAGTAATAGGACTAGCAGCAATAAGACGAAAAAGATAAGATAATGAGTATAGCTGTTGTACTCAGACGAAGTTCAACATCTAGATAACGACTTCACTTATTTATCAACAAGATCTGTAATTAATCAACTGATCCGTCTTGTTTCTAGTTAGAATACGTCAACTAACACATACGAATGTAAACGAAAAGCTGTAATTCTATCCGATTTCTTTAACAATGATCTGCAGCCAAAAAAAATCTACAGATATAAAACGTTCATTCGGAGGGTTCTGATGATGTGCATGAGTGTTTTCACGCTATGAAGGCGATTATTTTGGAACACATCCATACAGAACCAAGCACTCTATAATCTAATAACAAAATAGATCACAAACTGGTATCAACTACAGGACCATTAATCTCGCCTAGTTACCTAGCAGGCTAGTTTTCAAGTCGGTCCAAGCCTCTGTAAAGACGTACGGCTGGGCGTAGAGCTAGCAACCCTACACCACTAATCCTATCAAAGCTCTAGAGAAACTTCAACACACAAAAATGTATATCTATAATACGAAAAATTCCAAGAACGATCTTATTCTTCGCCGGAAACGTAGAGGAGAAATGACGCGGGTTAGTGAAAGCTTTCGCGAAACCAGTCAGCCAGCCAATGTGTCTACTCTCGATGAAAGCCAGAATAAGAATGGGAACGTGGAATATTCGTAAAATGTACGAGACTGGGAAGGCTGCTCAGGTAATCAAACAAATGCGAAGATATGCCCTTAAAGTGATCGAAATCTGCGAGAGCAGATGGGATGGATGTGGACTGTCAAAATTGTCAACTGGAGAGTCAATGATCTACTCCGATCTAGTCACCCCCACGCGACAACCACGAACACACTGAGGCACTGAGTGGACATCATGATGTTACCAGTGGCGGCCAAAGCCCCTTTTCAGTGGGAACCAATTCCATCCTGCAGGATCATGAATAGAGGAGTAAGACAAGGTCCCCGCATATTATCATAGATAATATTCTTAATTGTGGTGGGCTGGGTTATTTGTCAGATTGTGATGAGCTAGGAGACAGGAGTTCGCGGAACCACCAGTGATTAGACTATAGATAATCTGGACTTCCCAGGTGATATATGTCTAATATTCCAAAAACTTGAAGGGTTACAGGCGAAAAGCAGCAAACTGGCTGTAAAAACAGCGAAAACAGGACTCCAGGTGAATATAGAGGAGACTGAGGTGATGAAGATAACCAACCAACAACGACAATAACGATAACAACAACAACCAGCACCAGTCACCCACCATCAACGGAAGAGATTTGACAGAGGTTACCTCCTTCACTTATCCAGTTGGGAAGCATCATTTCAACTACAGGCCAGTGGAACGGATGAGGAAAGAACTGGTAACAAGAATCTGAGGGAAGAAACCAACAGGCAAGAGCCGATCGCTCAACAAATCTGTAGGAGAAAAAGGGAATGGATCGGTTGTACATCATCGAGGAGACCATCGAATGACATCGGGCGTCAGGCTCTCTAGTGGAATCCCAATAGGAAGCGACGAGTGGGTCGTCAGTGCTAGGGTGACATGGAGAAGATGGTGTGAGGAGGAGATGAGAGATTGTGGGCAATCGTGGTCGAAGCTTAAGAGGAAGGCAGGAAACAGAACAAAGTGGAGATGTGTTGTTGAAGCCTTATGTTCCACTCGGAATTCAAAGGGAATAATAAATAAATAAAATAGAGGACCAATGAAAATCGGGAAGTACTGAACAGTTACTTCGTCCTAATTTGGTATTACTAATTAGCAGTTAGTAACCACTAATCCAGAGAGGAACGAAATTCAAGCCTTTCAACAATTAATCTAGCTAGTTTAAAATAAAAAGTACATGTAGAGGTTCCATTGTGGAGAAATAACTATCCTATAAAATTCATCAGATCCCAAAACGTAAAAAGCAGAATAAAAATAATGGGGAAACTAATACTGATAACTATGATCACTATTAATCAAATCAAGATGAGAAATAGCGGAACCATATAAACGAAGTTAGAAAGTTGTGTGAGTACCATGATATGATTATGAGCAATAAATTGTGCTCGAAACGTCACTAGTGCAACACACTATGAGACTTTATCAAAATAAATCTTACCCACTATGGAATTATACTCTACCACAGTGCACAAGTTCTATTTCTTAAATCATACGTACACATAATAAATAATACTCATATAATCATTTAAGCGAAACCAGTCTTACTCTGAAACGAACATTCGGTACAGGATCATGACCAAGTTGAATTATAGTTGGAAGTAAATGTTTCTGTAATAACTCAGGTCGACACGACTGAGCCTCACCAAGTTGATGAAGAGATGCCAAACAAATCATACGACGTAGATAGTTTGGATCATGAGCCAACTGTATAAGCTACCAAATCGAAAAAAGAAGAAATGAAACATGCCATGACAATGGTGAAATACGTTTAGCACGATAATGAAACTAATAAAAACAAATCGTGTGAAACTTATCTTTTGCTTGAAATATTACCAATAACAGAACTTATCACTGTGTGTAAACTATTGAAATATAATTATACTTTATTTGATCTAATTCGCAATGCTCAAACTTTTTACTGATACTAATTGAACAAATTATTGTCAAACTAATATCCGAAATCAACAGAATGGAGACACTGTAATACATGTTTAAAAACACATTTCTGAACATCACTCAACCAAAAGCCGTAACTTTGCAGGTCGAACCAATCACAAATGGAGAAATTTGGGAATACAGACCACAAAATTGTGTATCATCCTGAGGTGCTGCAATTTGCAGTGAGTCACAGCATATAAACAAAACGCAATGGATATAAACAAATTATAGGTGCTCGAATTGAACAACGAATGATAAACGGGTACAATGTGAAGAAGAGGAAGAGATTGAGAATAAGCGGACTGCGGATTCAGAGTTCGAGAATGGAAGGCTTATATCCTGAACTTTGGGTGTTCGGTGACCGGTTCGTGAGTAGTAAAGAAATATTTGATTAGTATAGCACTATTTCTACGAAAACAAATTGTCCCCTGAGTTGACCGAATGCTAAACATGTTCTACTAGCAAGTATTGTAGTTTGAACGGTTTATAAAGCTAGGACAAGGGATATCAGGGCTACAAAGCTAGTCAGATAAAACAAGAATCACAATAAAATTACATACAGTGAAATTCGAGTTACACACACATGACCTTAATTATGTGAACTAACAGCAATTTAGAAGGTTATTTGATCTGCAATTACACTGTGGATCTACAAAATATAAAAATTAACTATAGTAAACATGACCATCTTGAATCCAAAAGAAATTTTACTTCTTTAGTGGATCATAGACAGAAGAAGATATGACCCTAAAGAGCTAAAGAATTATTTATTTAACAAGAAATGCACAAAAACTAATCAGATACTGGCAACTATGTCCTCGGAAATGTATTACATAATGTGAGATGTAATTTAGAAGATAACTAAGTGGAGATTAGGAAAAGGGATGTAATCTGGAATTACACAGCATGTATGTGTGAGATATAACCGATCAATCTAAATGCACGAAATGGACAAATGATACTGGGAATACAGTAAAGCGTTCATATTATATCTGTATGAGAAGTGCAATGTTATCAATAAACAATAGGAGTGATGATAACAATAATAATTGAATAAATATAGCAAAAGGAAATAAAATAAAACAAAATCATGACAAGGTTGTTACTCTGACCACGGTAAGAAGAATGAACCCAGAGGTTCGGTTTCTGGTCCTGAATACCCGGTGATTCCGCTATGCATGAGTAGTTCAATTGGCCTACAACCACACTTATCTAGTTAAGTATCCAACACCTACCTGAATGGGATATAGACACCGTCCCAACCGAAAGCTGCTACCTTGACGTGGTGGTCGGGCTTGAACACCGCAATGATCTATTCAAGCTATACTGGCTGAGACTTATGTCTCTTGAGGTTCTACCATGCCAGGCAGGTTGTTTGGATAGCGGTTAAACAAAAAGCAGCTACCCAATCCAACATCATGTCCAATACAAAATCACAAAATTTCATGCCGGATCGGCCGTGGCCCGGATTAACAACGACCGCGCTTCCTGCTGCCGTGTCACAGGGCAGGAGTGATAAATCTGCTACTGAGACACACCAAACAAAAAAGAACGAACAAAAACAGGCCGCGTGTGACCGGCCTCAAGCAGTTGTCCCCTGGGCTCTGCGGTCACGCAACCAACTTCCACGGTGTGGGCAGCCGGGAAGTAACAATCGCCCTCACAATCCGAAATGCACACGAAACCTCTCTATTACTCACTCATCTTTGTCTTCATCTTCATCTCTATCATCTTGCCTTCCTTCCACTGATGCAACTCCTCGACTTGATAGCTCTCCACTTCCTCTCCACTCTGCGTCCACTAAAAACGATGGAAGCCAAAAAACCACCACCGACAGCCTCTTAAAGCCGCGCCACCAATTTCATATAGGAGCTCTTAATGTTAGGACACTTTGCCAAATAGGACAACAAGCATCACTAGCCAAGACCCTGGCATCACGAGCCATTGATGTATGCTGTGTTTCAGAAACACGCATACAAGACCCAAGTGTGGTTATTCACCTAACCCCACCTGGCCAACAGGTTGAATCTGCAAAATTCACCTTGAGGGTGTCAGGAGATGCCACAGCTAGTTCACGAGGATTAGCTGGCGTAGGGATAGCTTTGAGTACTAGGGCAGAAAAGACATTGCTTGACTGGATCCCGGTAGATAGCCGAATGTGTGCTGTCCGCCTGAACGGATCAGTAAGAAGGAGAAAGGACTGCACTACTCGCCGATGCCTTTTCGTAATCTCCGCCTACGCCCCCACTGACTGCAGTTCAGATGAAACGAAGGATGAGTTCTACCAAAAGCTGTCTAGTTTGGTGGAAAGGCTAAACGCTCAGACATAGTCGTTCTAGCTGGTGACTTTAACGCTCAAGTAGGGAAATTGTGTCAATCTGAGAAGGATGTCGGTGGCACCTATGGAGTTCCGTGCCAGCGAACCGACAACGGTGACCGTCTCCTACAGTTCTGCTCTGATAATCATTTGTTTCTTGTAAGCACTAACTTTAAACACAAGGAGAGACACTGTTTGACTTGGAGACCCCCTTCATCAAACCAACGCTGGACACAAATAGACCACATAGCAATAAGCTATCGTTGGCGTGGGTCGGTAGGAGATTGTCGCTCCTTCTGGAACACGTGCGTAGATACCGACCATGCACTGGTCCGCGCTCGGGTGTGCTTACGACTGAACGGACGTAGGAAACAGCTGGCGGTAAAACCATCACGTCCCCAACTTTTTTTTTTTTAATAAATTCTGTGTGAGGAAGAACTAGCTAAACACATATCTGTGTTCGACAGCTGTGCTCACCCTGAAGAAGCTTGGAAAAATATCCAGGCAGCCATAGATACAGCTGTAAAAGCTGTGAATAAGGTAAACCCAAAGGTGAGTAAAAACCACTGGATCTCCACCGCCTCATCCGAACTGATAGATGCTAGAAGACTTATTCCGGCGAGCTCCGAATTCAATGAGGAGCGAAAGCTGCACAAGAGGAAACTTACGAAAAGTCTCCGCAAGGACCGTGAACAGTGGTGGGCGACAAAAGCCAAAGAGATGGAGAAAGCTTCGAGGATAGGCAACACCAGGCAACTCTTTAGACTCATCAGGGAAACGGGTGGGAGAAGACAAATCATCAGTGAGACAATCTCGGAAAAAAATGGCACTATAATTAGCTCCCAGGATAGACGACTGGATCGTTGGAAAGAGCATTATGAGGAGCAGTTTAATTTGCCCACAGCCACGCTCAACCTTCCGAGCATCCAACACCTCCCTGAATGGGATATAAACACAGGTCCTCCGTCACTAACTGAGGTTACTAAAGCTGTCACCAATCTGAAACTAGGCAAAGCAGCGGGACCTGATGGAATGACTCCAGAGGTATTTAAGTACGGTGGAGACAGCTTACAGTCCGGATTAACTGAGGTACTAGTCTGTCTGTCTGTCTGTTTTCGACATAGAACTTTGCACAAATGTGCGGAAGTTCAAGTCGCCACATTCCGTGTAGCACGCGAAGCAAGAGAAGAAAGTACAAGAAAAGCATAATAGAAACAGTGAGCAGAGGTGTGAGACAAAGGAGTAATAAAGAAATACAAAACAGTTTCATTGAAGATCATAAGTCACAGGGAGTGGATGCATCTGCGCCACTGAGAACGGTTTTGAGCCATGTCACCAATTGTTTCCAACCATAGATTTTTACCGTCCCGAGGACCCCAGCCTGGAAGTCTACACCTTCCTACATGGCTTAGACCAACTGTTGTGGATTTCATTGACTGATGCCAAGTTTTTGTTTGACCGCCGCTAGCTTTTTTCCAGCCTGACCCTATATCTGCTAACATAGCTCGTCGAGGGAGGCGATGGCTTGGCATACGTAACACATGTCCTAACCATCTCAGTCTTTGTAGCTTCAAGACTTCGTCGATTGATTTCCCCTGTTTACCTAGAACTCTACGCCTAACCTCCATGTTGCTCACCTTACTATGCCACTTTACACGGGAAATAGAACGCAGGCACCTATGATCAAAGACAGCTAATCTTTTCATGTCTCCCACTCTCAGTGGCCGGGTTTCACAACCACAAAGGAGGACGGAGCGGACTGATGAGCAGTACACCCGCCCTTTGGTCGATAGTCGAACATCTCGTCTACGCCAGAGTCAGCGTAAACTGGCAAATGCGAAACGAGCCCCCTGTATTCGTACTGAGATTTCGTCAGAGATCAACCCGTTGGCACTGGCTGATGGTACTTCCCAAATAAGTGAAGCGGTCAACGTGCTCTACCACTTCACTTCCTATTTTTAAACTAGGCGTCGATGTAGTCCAGTCCTGTAACTAGGCAGCGTCTACGAATCAGAAGAAGTCCCATTCGGTTGGTGTGAGTCACTGATTATCCCCATATACAAGAAGGGAGACAAGTCTTCCTGTGATAATCACAGAGGGATTAGCTTGACTAATATAGTATCTAAAGTCTTAGGCTCAATAATCATGCGTAGACTGAGTGGTGCTCGGGAAGCACAAACACGAGAGAGCCAGGCAGGCTTTAGACCAGGAAGAGGGTGCATTGATCATATCTTCACCCTCCGACAGATTATAGAACATAGGAATTCCTACCGGCGTCCAACAGTCATTATATTTCTTGACCTAAAGGCAGCATTCGACTCTGTCGATCGGGAAGTTCTCTGGAGATGCTTGGCTGTAAAGGGAATCCCGAGAAAATACACTGCACTGATTAAGGCACTCTACTCGTACTCATACAGCCAGGTGAGGGCTTACGGCGAGCTGTCATCTGAACTGATGACGACCAGTGGTGTCCGTCAAAAAATGCCCATTATCTCCTTTTCTATTCAACTTCATCATAGATGTGTTAATGGACTTAACCCTAAGTGACTTCAGCGACTCAGGGATTGACTTGCTACCGGGGAATAATCTCGTTGACTTGGAATATGCAGACGATATAGTCCTTCTAGGCGAAGACGCTGACGAAATGCAGAGTCTTCTAAACACCTTGAGCCGCAATCTACGAATGTTTGGCATGCGATTCGCTCCCGCCAAATGCAAGATGATGTTACAGGACTGGACTACATCGACGCCTAGTTTAAAAATAGGAAGTGAAGTGGTAGAGCACGTTGACCGCTTCACTTATTTGGGAAGTACCATCAGCCAGTGCCAACGGGTTGATCTCTGACGAAATCTCAGTACGAATACAGGGGGCTCGTTTCGCATTTGCCAGTTTACGCTGACTCTGGCGTAGACGAGATGTTCGACTATCGACCAAAGGGCGGGTGTACTGCTCATCAGTCCGCTCCGTCCTCCTTTGTGGTTGTGAAACCCGGCCACTGAGAGTGGGAGACATGAAAAGATTAGCTGTCTTTGATCATAGGTGCCTGCGTTCTATTTCCCGTGTAAAGTGGCATAGTAAGGTGAGCAACATGGAGGTTAGGCGTAGAGTTCTAGGTAAACAGGGGAAATCAATCGACGAAGTCTTGAAGCTACAAAGACTGAGATGGTTAGGACATGTGTTACGTATGCCAAGCCATCGCCTCCCTCGACGAGCTATGTTAGCAGATATAGGGTCAGGCTGGAAAAAAGCTAGCGGCGGTCAAACAAAAACTTGGCATCAGTCAATGAAATCCACAACAGTTGGTCTAAGCCATGTAGGAAGGTGTAGACTTCCAGGCTGGGGTCCTCGGGACGGTAAAAATCTATGGTTGGAAACAATTGGTGACATGGCTCAAAACCGTTCTCAGTGGCGCAGATGCATCCACTCCCTGTGACTTATGATCTTCAATGAAACTGTTTTGTATTTCTTTATTACTCCTTTGTCTCACACCTCTGCTCACTGTTTCTATTATGCTTTTCTTGTACTTTCTTCTCTTGCTTCGCGTGCTACACGGAATGTGGCGACTTGAACTTCCGCACATTTGTGCAAAGTTCTATGTCAAAAACAGACAGACAGATATAGACACCGTCCCTAGCTGAGGTTACAAAAGCTGTATCTTATCTGGAACGTGGTAAACCAATGGGACCTGATGGAGTGACTTCAGAGGTGTTTACGGACAGTGGCGAAAAATTCCTGTCTAGGCTAACTAAGGCACTAGGCAACGTTTGGGAATCAGAGATAGTCCCGTAGGACTCATGTAACTCACTTGTCATCCCAATGTACAAGAAGGGTGACAAGTTTCCTTGTGAAAACCATACTGGGACTAGCTTGACCAATATAGTATCTGAATTCCTAGGCTCAATAATCATGTGTGGACTAAGCGGTGCTCGGGAGGAACAAACACGAGACAACCAGGCAGGAATAAGACCAGTCAGGGGATGCATTGATCACATCTTCACCCTTAGATTCTGGAAAATAGGAATACCTACCAGAATCAAACAATTGTCATATCTCCTAACCTGAAGGCAGAACTCTATTCCGTCGACTAAAAAGTATTTGGAGATGTTTGACCGTTAAGGGAGTGCTGATGAAGTAAATTGAACTAATCAAGGCACTCTACTCGAACTCATAAAGCCGTGTGAGAGCTTACTGAGTTATATAAAATGATTACAAACAGGTGTCCATCAGGTATATATATATATATATATATATATATATATATATATATATATATATCATCAACAACAACAGACAACAATCAGCCAGCACAAATGGAAGGAACCTGAAGGAAACAGCCTTCCTTTACCTACCTGGAAAGCATCGTCTCAACTACAGGCGGAACTGACGAGGATATCAAAGCTAGAATCGGAAGAGCAAGACAAGCTTTCATAACTCTTAAGTCTGTGTGGAGGTCAACAGCACTCAGCATCAAGAATAAGATCCGGATTTGCAACTCCAATGTGAAGTCAGTCAGTGCTACTATACGGATCAGAGACTTGGCCAGCGCGTCATAAAGAGCATCTCGAACAAACTTCAGACCTTCATTAACAGCTGTCTTCGCTCAATACTCAAGATCAGATGACCGACCAGAAAAGATCAGCAACAGGGATCTCTGGCAATGAGCGAACCAACCAGGAACCGATTGTGAAACAAATAGGCAGGAAGAAATGGAGATGGATTGACCATACGCTGAGGAAACCATCAAGTGATATCACTAGACAAGCCATCGCTCGAGTGGAACCCGAAAGAAAAGCGGCGAGTTGGTCGTCAATGTAACGGTGATTTGGACGAAGTCATGTGAGGAGGAGATGAAAGCATGTGGGAAGACTTGGAGCGGGTGAAAAAGTTGGCAGAAAACCGAAGGCAATGGAGACTTGCAGCTGAAGCCCTGTGTTCCTCCAGGAATTAAAGGACAAAATAATAATAATCACTTGGATTCCATCGTAGCTACAATTCGAGTGCTTTGAGTAGTGAATTTTTATACTATCACCGTTACCGCAGATTGTGAACAAGTGAATAATCACATACAACGGCTATACGGAACACATATCAATGATAGATCAGTTGAATAAACAGACTTAGAAAACTAACTTGTTAAAATGTTATAATGTAAATTGAATACTGAATAAATTGAATAATGTATGCAGTGCTATTGCTGGGCGGAAGACATCACACAGTATGGTAGGTGACCCTGCAAACCCATTCATATTGTTTGAATTAGAAATGTGAGGGTACACTTATCGTGGAAATGTGACGACGCCAAATGAAATATACGCATCAAGAATTCCTAGAAACATCCAATGGATGGCGATACACTTCTGAAACGGTGGAACCATGATTTGAAGAAATTAGAAAAAGCTGCAGAAAAATATTTAGTCATTTCAGCAGACATTAAACACTGTCCCCTTATGCATGAAGCTTACTTTCAAGAAAATTTACGCTGATACATAACAGACTTCTGAATACAACAAAGATATGAACAGATCATAACAGGAAGGCTATCCTATGGTTATAGGTCAACTTGACGTTTCCTGGTCTGAAGAATAATAACAACGGTTTCAGAGAGCACAAGTAACTTCAGAATAGTTTAGTCTGATTTTATACTAGATGACTGCTTTGAAGAAGCATGTATCTAGCTTAGTTCATACTGAAATAAATATACCTAAACTTTAAATAGTTAAGAGAAAAATATGTAGAAATAAGTCCAATATGAAACATATGTAAAATATATAAGTAAAAATATGTGTTAAACCATAATGAATATGGTATACCGTACAAGAATGTCATATCAGGGACATGACACTGCTAAATGAACTAAACAGTGAACTATTGGTAGAAATCCGCACCTCCACGATTCATAGTTAGAAGTATAAGTTTATATGCAACTAGCCCCATAAAAGTCTTAGTAAATTCATCTTTATTTTAAGTACTCGATCATTCAATTGAATAAGAAAGGTCCACTAACCTGAGATAGAAGCTAAAATGTTGTCTACCTATCGTCACCTTGAGAAATGTTTACCACAAATTAAAGCCATGAATATGATTATAGGTATAGGATGACAGTTCGTACGCTAAAAGTACACGAGAGTAAAACAATATTACCAACTAGTTAACCTTTCGAACTGTGTTTGGGGTTCATTCATATTACAGGTATATAGGGTTTTGTGGAAAATGGAAACATTACCCATTACACGATACTTTACAGTAGAACTAACAGCCTACATTTATGAGGGCCTATACTAATAGGAATGCGTCAACGGCCACCTAGGATATGTGGAAAAAGTGATTATTATTCAGACTGCGAACAGATAAACTGCTGACTATATTCAGACGTTAGAGACGGAAATAATAAATACAAACACTTGGAGATCTAACGAGCATTAGTGCAATCTGTAACTTTACGGTTATTCCCGATACAAACCAGTAAGAAAGCTACTAACGGAGAAAAGCCTTTAGACATACAGTGCGTTGTTGATATACTGAGTAACATTAAGGCTGATGTTAACGTGCCAAATAGTGGTTTGCACAGTGGTTGACACCCGACATGAGGACAAAAGAAACAATGTCTCAGAAGTAAAAACACCTGCTGTAAAATGGGGAAGAAATTGATTTCAGAAAAATGAAAATCTATTAAAGCCTACAACAATGGTTGACTTACACGAGGTATGATCTGAGAACTGGCCCAATCCACTCCAAACTGATCCATAAGTTTTCGTAAATTTGTTACAGCTGCTTCACGCACGGCATATACATCATCCACCAACCAACCGAGACACAAATTCGTAAGGCGTTCGTTGAAACACTGCAAGCCCAGCTGACTGGCTAGCAGTGGCATATACTCAATTATTGCCAAACGAACACGCCATTTAGTATCACTGGCTAGTTCAACAATTGCAGGAAGTAAACTTTGACTAAGTTGTGTTATTCCCATTATTTGGTTCACACACTCCAAGTTAGATATAATATTCAAACGGACCTATGAAACATTCAAAATTCAATGTACCTTTGCAAATAGGCGTTAGAGAAATATGAAAACTTCTGTTTATCCGAATCACTTGGGTATACACACTGAGTGAACTTTCACAGTAAACTTCACATAAAACAATAGAATCACGAGGAAAAATGAGCGCAGCTTAAATGGAAAAAAGAGTGACAGAAGTGTCATAGGACTATATACAGTATATTGTTATTAACATCAACTGTGCCCATCGTATGACTCTGGTCCCTCTTAAACGACATGGAAAGGGTGACGGTGCGTAGACCCCTACCTTCCTCTCGAATTGTTTTTACGTGGTCACATGTTCATATTCTGTGCCTTATTCCCTGTCTTACTACGCCGAGCAGTATTCTCAAAAAAGTGAAGGGATGGATGCGAATCCACTGCACTCACCACCATACTGATAGACATGGAGGCCCACCTAATGGTGTAAATCTAGTAAGCAAACTGTCTGCATCGTTTAGCAATATATATGAAATTCAGTGTCTCGGGGGAGCGAAGTCAGGCCACTGGTGTGTATATATAACGTGTATATAAACTGACAATGTCAAAACTAACCATTTCCTCTTCATTATCTAATTTTAAATTATCTCATCTATGTTTTAGTTCATAGGAATTTTTTAGTCTATATTTTAAGTGGCTTTTAAAGGGATTCAATACCATGGCTAAATATGTAGATAGTTCATAAGTAGGTGAATTTCTAAAATCAACTATAGGTCTATTAGGGTATCCTTACTTATGAACTTTAACAACACCATACATCCTACTGGGGTTATTAGTTTTCGGCATTAAATTAAACCATTTAAACTCACCTAGAGACGGCTTTATTCGGTGTATAAGGTTTTCTGTGAATTTCTTAACCTAATTCATAACGATGTCTGTTGATTTATTAATTTCCTCATATGGTCAGATTTGTATGTGAATATTCACTTTGTCCAAATAGTCTGATTCATCTAATATTACCGTTGGATTTTCTCTGTCTGACTTAGTGATTACTATGTCCTTGTTATTCTTAAGGTGCTTTAGGGCTTATATCTCTGGTTTTGTCAGGGTTAGGCTTTCCTCGTTTTTGTTATTTTTAATGTCAGTGCACATTGTGCCCGTACTTGTTTCAACCGTTGTTTTTTCTATCCCACTTAGTGCTATTTCTATATTAGGGATGACATCCTCAGGTTTCAGCTTGTATACCGCTACATTGAAATTTAGTCCCTTTTCTAATACACTTATTTCTGTGGAACTTAACACGTGTTGAGAGATGCATAACCAACCTTGTTTTATCGATCGCCGTTGACTTTAAATTGTTGACTTCATCGTTCTGAGATGAAGATTTCTCCTCTAGTAATTTCTTGAACTTTTTGAAAGTTGGTGATTTGGCATTGCTAGAGGATTGTAATATGATCGTAATCCACATTGGTAACTATTCCCATTAGCTTTTGATTTAGCTGCCCAATTTCATATCTGATATGGTGTAACTTTTTAATAACTCTTTAGATCTCTCCTTTTGTAGACTATTATTCCGCTTTTAACTATGTCGCAGCTGGAACTCGTAGACGTAGGTATTCAGGAATGATTTCATTTTTGAAGCATCGTATTTTCAACATTCAACTTCTGATCTGCTTTCACAGACAATACAAATATATCATCAGGCCAAGAGAGGGATAATGGCCTATTAAGACATAACCAACTAATGACTTCTACATCACCCCTTGTTTATATTTTCAACCCCTTTCTTATCATCCCTTAATCTTATCACATCTTTATAAACGTGTTTTATTTACTTCCCTTACAATTTTACATTACTTATTCGGTTCATTTGTTTTTACTAGACTTTATCGACTACTTCCACCTGAGCATTTGTTTGTTTAATCATGCTGTTTTTCATTATTCGTTTTATCACAGATTGCCTTACTTTTTCATCCTTATTATTGATAAGATCATTATTATTATTATTATTACTATTATTATCATTACTACTATTTTGACTAACTGCACAATTAATATTCACCATCTTATTACCCTATAGACAAAACACCATGATTGGTTTATATTTGAATTTTTATTTGTAAACTTATATATATTGGAGTTAAGCCTGATGAGATCCAATTGAAAACAATACCGTTCGCTTAAATATGTTGTTCTAAATTTTACTATGGGAATATTTAATATATTGATACTAATTAATAAGATATATTATATCGAAAAAAGTGCATCGAATTCCCTCTGATGAATCTAAATTCAAAGTGGATAATTATGCAAAAGATCAAACATTGTCGACCGAAAGAAAAATTGTGCAGCATTTACGACAACTCTTGATAAGGAAATACACTGATGAGAATACATAGAGGAATATCAAATTGATTGGATCACAGATGCCAAAATACACACAAATTAAGAGCACCCTTGAGACCTATACTCTCCCTAATAAAATCACCATACCACAAATTAACACAGTGGCTATGTGAATGGGATGGAAGACAAATGTGTTAGGTTAGCACCTGTCAGTGCATCATGAGTATCTAGGTGAAATCCGAAGGATAATACCAATCACAGTGGCTCGAGAAGTCACCAGATACAAGATTGATAATCGTAATCAATGGCGAAAAAGACTGAGAACCCCTCTTCTCTTCTCTTTCTGAAAATAAAGTGATACAGGAAACCATCTTTTGAATGGTCATGATAAATATGCTAAACTTCATTCCCCATGCTGTTTCTCATTTATTTTTCTAATCTAATGTATACTCTTGTTTTATTATTTTTGTATGGTGAACGTTTAGGTGGCCATATTCTACCAACTTTGTATTCAAACAATAATAGTAATAATAAGACGCCGACTGACTGGTAGAGAAAATATAGTAATGTGGATATTAAGTAAAGCGACTGATTATTCTGATGATTAGAACTCACATCTGGATTTTCGTCTTTCAGTTGAACCAAAAGTAATGGTAGGAGATGTTCAACGGTGTTTTCTTTCCCTAATAAGGGCGATAAAGCCATCATAACTCCTGCCAATGCAGTTTTCACTTGAAGATTATTTTCGCCAACCATGTCACGGATAATAGGCAGTAATGTCTTCATAATTACAGACTCTCGAATATCTGGTGCTAGAGCTGATGCAAATTTTTTGAGTTTACCCGCAGCTGCTGCTCGAACTTCACCCTCGGGATCTTTGAGGAGCATCTAAGTGCGAAAACAACAAGTTCCGAAAAACTGAAAATAAAACAAACTTGCTCCCAATAAATACGTAAAGCCTGTTCACTGTTGTAGTATGTAATCCCATATTGGGATTTTTCAGTACACAAACCAAACAGTAAAACAATATTACTAAGTGCATGAGTGAGAACACATACGATACGAAGTTTAGTACGTGTACGCGCCAACTGGGAAAGAGTAATTAGAACTCCCGAAAATGAGTCTCAAAGTTGTGAAGTCATCCTTGATATGGTTACGAACAATAGGTGGTGTTGGACAAGTCCTTCAGTGAATAATACTGTTTCAGTGTGTGATTTATGTAATGTATGGATTGTGTAGTCGTCGTTTTCAGCGGTTGAAATAATTTCAGCGAAAATATCCGAGTAGTATGTCACGAACACCATAATCTACCAGCTAGAATGTTAACAAAACTGCTTTAGAAGAGGCCAATACAACATATTTCTTCCACATAAATATATAGTATTCAATGATAGTACTGTTGTACATCTTATTTCCATTCTCAGTGTTATTGCACTTTATTTCACTACACTCTGTCTCCATAATAAAATGAGTTATATACAATGATTCTATTTCTAATACTGATGCTACTTATTTCCTTCGTTAAAAAAACTCATGATTAAGTATTCATGCTACCTGATGCAGTAATGCTAACTCATTATGCTATATGACTTATTTAATTTAAACAGACGTGTCTCTAAGGAAAATTAAGTATCCTTCGTGAAGCATCCCATTACTAAATAAGGATTGTTGAATTGAGTGTCTTTTCTTCCGGAAACCCTTTGACATAGTTACTGTGATACACACTAGTACAAAGGGGCAAGTACAAATTCGCAGGAAAATGGTTTATTTACGAGCAAACGAGAATCCATATGTAGTAGAAACAGTCAACTACATATGTGAACAAAAGTATGACAAGTCGATAAATATTGACATCTGTACCGAAATCCTAAAAGAATTGTTATTAAGGTGTACCATGAATGTAAATTTCAAATTTGACGGCAAGCTTTACAGACAAGTGGAAGAGGTGGCGATGGGCTCCCCATTGGGTCCCGTTTCTAAGTAAGCTAGAAAATGGACTTTTGAACAACCTTATCAGTAAGTTCTCAGCTTATTGCCGGTATATGGATGACACCTTTATTCTTTGTGACAATGATTCGGATAGGAATACAATAATAACTGAATTCAATGAAGTACATTTGGCTATGAAATTGGCGTGCGAAGAGGAATCCCAAAACAGAATTGCCTTCCTGGATGTCCTCCTTACAAGAAGACCAGATGGTAGCATAAATAGAAATTTGCACAGAAAAAGTACATGGATAGGACAATATACACATTTTCACAGCTTCGTTCCTCTCAAGTACATTTTACAACCGTATATAACAGAACGAAAAGCTTGTAACATGCAGAAGGCTCTAAATATACACAGATATTTCGTGAGTATCACGATTCGCATAATAACAATTCCCTAGACACTAAACGGTAATTTCTTGGAATATACCCCAAAAAGTTACAGAATTCAGCTGAATCTGCCAAGCTAGGAATCAATAGTAACGAACAGTAACAAAGACACATAAAGTGCAACGCTAACCTGGTAAACATCGACCAAATGTTGTCCAGCAAGCTGAGGCTTTACTGCGGTTTGTAGATCTGTGATATGATCAGCTAACTGATAGCGGACTCTCCAGGATTTATCTTCGGCCGCCGAACGTATAAGGGGTATGATATGAGCCACAACATCTTCTGTAGGAAGAACTTCAGCAAAATCTACTGCTGCATTCACACCTAATAATCTCACAGAGTCCTGATCATCTTGCTGTAATGGAAGAAATATAGGTAGGTGAGTAATAATGCATACATGTTTCCAGTGGTTAAAGGAAAATTCAAAAGCAAGACCTCACCTGGCAAAGAGTAGGTAAAAGAGGCAATAAATCAGAGCGCAATGCATCCATCTCTATACAACGAGCAAGTTCTCCAAGTCGATTTGCCGCAGCACGTCTGACCATGGGAGTATCGTCCGCGCAAAGTTGTTTGAAAGCACGGCGTAGATCTGCACGGACGGCTGGAGTACACTGTTGGTAAACTACGCTGAACAATCCACAAGCTGATGTGCGGCTTGTAAACCAGTCACCAGTTGCTAAACGTTTGATAAGTGGTAGAAAATGAAATTCCAAGTCCTAAAAGTAACAAATGGAGGTGATACAACTTAACCAGTGTAATGTAATATTTTTGCAAATGTGCTCAATAAAAGAGGTGAAATCGAACACTTATACATTTTCATGTATATTACATAAAACTACAGGGAATTTCGTATAGCATTATCAAAGAAAATCACTAAATTAATGAAAAAGTGGGTATAAGAATACTGAATTTGCCGTCACATACAGTCTCCAGCCACTCACCAATGGTTAAAACCACATGTATCTAAAGAATCCCGACCGAAAGCTGCTACCTTGACGTGGTGGTCGGGCTTGAACACCGCAATGATCTATTCAAGCTATACTGGCTGAGACTTATGTCTCTTGAGGTACTACCATGCCAGGCAGGTTGTTTGGATAGCGGTTAAACAAAAAGCAGCTACCCAATCCAACATCATGTCCAATACAAAATCACAAAATTTCATGCCGGATCGGCCGTGGCCCGGATTAACAACGACCGCGCTTCCTGCTGCCGTGTCACAGGGCAGGAGTGATAAATCTGCTACTGAGACACACCAAACAAAAAAGAACGAACAAAAACAGGCCGCGTGTGACCGGCCTCAAGCAGTTGTCCCCTGGGCTCTGCGGTCACGCAACCAACTTCCACGGTGTGGGCAGCCGGGAAGTAACAATCGCCCTCACAATCCGAAATGCACACGAAACCTCTCTATTACTCACTCATCTTTGTCTTCATCTTCATCTCTATCATCTTGCCTTCCTTCCACTGATGCAACTCCTCGACTTGATAGCTCTCCACTTCCTCTCCACTCTGCGTCCACTAAAAACGATGGAAGCCAAAAAACCACCACCGACAGCCTCTTAAAGCCGCGCCACCAATTTCATATAGGAGCTCTTAATGTTAGGACACTTTGCCAAATAGGACAACAAGCATCACTAGCCAAGACCCTGGCATCACGAGCCATTGATGTATGCTGTGTTTCAGAAACACGCATACAAGACCCAAGTGTGGTTATTCACCTAACCCCACCTGGCCAACAGGTTGAATCTGCAAAATTCACCTTGAGGGTGTCAGGAGATGCCACAGCTAGTTCACGAGGATTAGCTGGCGTAGGGATAGCTTTGAGTACTAGGGCAGAAAAGACATTGCTTGACTGGATCCCGGTAGATAGCCGAATGTGTGCTGTCCGCCTGAACGGATCAGTAAGAAGGAGAAAGGACTGCACTACTCGCCGATGCCTTTTCGTAATCTCCGCCTACGCCCCCACTGACTGCAGTTCAGATGAAACGAAGGATGAGTTCTACCAAAAGCTGTCTAGTTTGGTGCGAAAGGCTAAACGCTCAGACATAGTCGTTCTAGCTGGTGACTTTAACGCTCAAGTAGGGAAATTGTGTCAATCTGAGAAGGATGTCGGTGGCACCTATGGAGTTCCGTGCCAGCGAACCGACAACGGTGACCGTCTCCTACAGTTCTGCTCTGATAATCATTTGTTTCTTGTAAGCACTAACTTTAAACACAAGGAGAGACACTGTTTGACTTGGAGACCCCCTTCATCAAACCAACGCTGGACACAAATAGACCACATAGCAATAAGCTATCGTTGGCGTGGGTCGGTAGGAGATTGTCGCTCCTTCTGGAACACGTGTGTAGATACCGACCATGCACTGGTCCGCGCTCGGGTGTGCTTACGACTGAACGGACGTAGGAAACAGCTGGCGGTAAAACCATCACGTCCCCAACTTGAGGAAGAACTAGCTAAACACATATCTGTGTTCGACAGCTGTGCTCACCCTGAAGAAGCTTGGAAAAATATCCAGGCAGCCATAGATACAGCTGTAAAAGCTGTGAATAAGGTAAACCCAAAGGTGAGTAAAAACCACTGGATCTCCACCGCCTCATCCGAACTGATAGATGCTAGAAGACTTATTCCGGCGAGCTCCGAATTCAATGAGGAGCGAAAGCTGCACAAGAGGAAACTTACGAAAAGTCTCCGCAAGGACCGTGAACAGTGGTGGGCGACAAAAGCCAAAGAGATGGAGAAAGCTTCGAGGATAGGCAACACCAGGCAACTCTTTGGACTCATCAGGGAAACGGGTGGGAGAAGACAAATCATTAGTGAGACAATCTCGGAAAAAAATGGCACTATAATTAGCTCCCAGGATAGACGACTGGATCGTTGGAAAGAGCATTATGAGGAGCAGTTTAATTTGCCCACAGCCACGCTCAACCTTCCGAGCATCCAACACCTCCCTGAATGGGATATAGACACAGGTCCTCCGTCACTAACTGAGGTTACTAAAGCTGTCACCAATCTGAAACTAGGCAAAGCAGCGGGACCTGATGGAATGACTCCAGAGGTATTTAAGTACGGTGGAGACAGCTTACTGTCCGGATTAACTGAGGTACTAGGCAGCGTCTGGGAATCAGAAGAAGTCCCATCGGGTTGGTGTAAGTCACTGATTATCCCCATATACAAGAAGGGAGACAAGTCTTCCTGTGATAATCACAGAGGGATTAGCTTGACTAATATAGTATCTAAAGTCTTAGGCTCAATAATCATGCGTAGACTGAGTGGTGCTCGGGAAGCACAAACACGAGAGAGCCAGGCAGGCTTTAGACCAGGAAGAGGGTGTATTGATCATATCTTCACCCTCCGACAGATTCTAGAACATAGGCATTCCTACCGGCGTCCAACAGTCATTATATTTCTTGACCTAAAGGCAGCATTCGACTCTGTCGATCGGGAAGTTCTCTGGAGATGCTTGGCTGTAAAGGGAATTCCGAGAAAATATATTGCACTGATTAAGGCACTCTACTCGTACTCATACAGCCAGGTGAGGGCTTACGGCGAGCTGTCATCTGAACTGATGACGACCAGTGGTGTCCGTCAAGGATGCCCATTATCTCCTTTTCTATTCAACTTCATCATAGATGTGTTAATGGACTTAACCCTAGGTGACTTCAGCGACTCAGGGATTGACTTGCTACCGGGAATAATCTCGTTGACTTGGAATATGCAGACGATATAGTCCTTCTAGGCGAAGACGCTGACGAAATGCAGAGTCTTCTAAACACCTTGAGCCGCAATCTACGAATGTTTGGCATGCGATTCGCTCCCGCCAAATGCAAGATGATGTTACAGGACTGGACTACATCGACGCCTAGTTTAAAAATAGGAAGTGAAGTGGTAGAGCACGTTGACCGCTTCACTTATTTGGGAAGTACCATCAGCCCCAACGGGTTGATCTCTGACGAAATCTCAGCACGAATACAAGGGGCTCGTTTCGCATTTGTTAGTTTACGCCGACTCTGGCGTAGACGAGATGTTCGACTATCGACCAAAGGGCGGGTGTACTGCTCATCAGTCCGCTCCGTCCTCCTTTATGGTTGTGAGACCTGGCCACTGAGAGTGGAAGACATGAAAAGACTAGCTGTCTTTGATCATAGGTGCCTGCGTTCTATTTCCCGTGTAAAGTGGCATAATAAGGTGAGCAACATGGAGGTTAGGCGTAGAGTTCTAGGTAAACAGGGGAAATCAATCGACGAAGTCGTGAAGCTACAAAGACTGAGATGGTTAGGACATGTGTTACGTATGCCAAGCCATCGCCTCCCTCGACGAGCAATGTTAGCGGATATAGGGTCAGGCTGGAAAAAAGCTAGCGGCGGTCAAACAAAAACTTGGCATCAGTCAATGAAATCCACAACAGTTGGTCTAAGCCACGTAGAAAGGTGTAGACTTCCAGGCTGGGGTCCTCGGGACGGTAAAAATCTATGGTTGGAAACAATTGGTGACATGGCTCAAAATCGTTCTCAGTGGCGCAGATGCATCCACTCCCTGTGACTTATGATCTTCAATGAAACTGTTTTGTATTTCTTTATTACTCCTTTGTCTCACACCTCTGCTCACTGTTTCTATTATGCTTTTCTTGTACTTTCTTCTCTTGCTTCGCGTGCTACACGGAATGTGGCGACTTGAACTTCCGCACATTTGTGCAAAGTTCTATGTCGAAAACAGACAGACAGACAGACAGTATCTAAAGAATCTTAGGATCTTAGTAACCAACAGCTTGAACTAGCAGTATGCTGGTGATCTATTCGTCGAGTGTTAACTTCTGCGGATATCTGATGATAAATGTTAATGAAAACCCATCCTTTGGAAGTGGAATGTGGTCGATACACTGCAGAACGGCTGCAAATGAGTATCAGGATGCTAAACACTAGCTGACAAAAGGGTCAATCTAAATTATGTGCTTGTCCTTAATAAGTCATATCTGCATATCTGTGTGCGTCGGTGGCACAGTGGTTAGGACTCTCGCCGACCATGCACATGGTCCGGGGTTCGAGCCCACGCCGGCGCACACCTGATATCTATGGTTGGCCTGCAAAATTTGGGCTACCGATATCCATGCTGAAAATTCCATACTTGTACCAAAAATACAGTTTGGAATCAAGCTGTAAATCAAAAATCCAAAAAAAAATCAAAAAAAAATCAAAAAAAAATCAAAAAAAAATCCAAAAAAAAAATTCAAAAAATCAAACATATGATTACAGCTTTCCCACCTATCAATATCAAGCAAACGTGTGTGCATACGCAGCGGGTTCGACCGATAGATAAGGTTGCGAGTTAGACAATAGGTAAAATCTGATACATATTCTTCTAGGTCAAAGACTCACAGTGCAGAAAGACCCATCACTAAAGAATAGCAAATAAAAAAGGCATTATAAAAAACACCTCCCAGACCATCCTAAAGGCTTAAAATTATACGAGTCTGTGAAACACTTGTGACAAAAGCGAAACCTGCACACTACATAACCAATGACGAGCAGAAATAACGCTTTCCAAATTCTACGGCAAACTAAAACTAACCTTGGACGAAAAACTGGGAGCAAGTGCTCGTAAAGTCTCAACAGCTTTGTCACGGACGACGGTTTCTTCTGCGGATGCAAGTCCTTCGAGAGGTGGTAGAAGACAATGAACGTATTCCGGTCCTCCAACCAGAGGAACAAAATCAGCCAACTGTTTGGCCATCTCTCGAAGTACTTCGTCTTCATCATATATAGTCTCAGTTAGAAATGGAATCAATTCAGTCCTAGTTCTTTCTGGACCAAGTGCAAGAGAAATTGTAGAAAGCTTTTTTATACTGGCTAAGCGAGTTTGCATATCTTCATTCCTCAATTCGTCAATAAGTATAGCGATTGGGAATAAGCTTTCATCAGTTAAATCTGTAGTCATGTTTCTGAATACAGACAAAAGAACGGAAGATTTAGAAAGCAACAAAGAAAATGGAGGTAGTGCGATTAATGTATCGTCGCCTGGCATCTAAAACAGTTAGCTCCACTGAAGACAGTTTTCAGACACGCAATTCAACTACTTCAGTTAGTGGAATAAAGGTTCATCGTGTGTTAAGCACAGCCCCACCATTTCAGATAATGCAGCCTAACAACTTCAAGCAAACGGCTTTCTCACTAATGAACATATATTTAAAAGTTACAAAAATGCTACTTATCAGAATACCTAGTCCTTAGATTGATTTCATACCATCCTTAATTTTTTCTCAAAAATATCATCCTGGCGTAGTTTATTCGTTCAACTTATGAATGACTTAGTACACCACAATGATAAGCCTTGTTCTAATGTTAACTAAGCAACTGGTCAACTACAGACTACACGAAGTTGAGCTTATTCTTTAAAAGTCGCAACTACCGCACATATATCCGAAAGCTGCAGAAAGGTATTAGTGTCATAAACCGTCCAAACTATTAGAGAACAGCCCAATTTCCACCAAAATCATATCACTACCCTAACTTTAGTCCAAAATCAGGACGAAACTTGTGACGGCGATTATGAACTTTCTCAGTGTTTGAGAGGCCCGTTAGGTCAGTTGAGTGTCATTATTCTGTGGTATCTATCCTTAGCTCTTGTCCCCAATAGCTACACAACTAGTGCATTTGCTACAACTACAAGAAATTCTCTTTGGAAATCATAATAATTGTATCATGTACTTTGAGAGTCCAAAGTAGACACACTGATATGCTCATGTGTTGCTACTCTGCGTTTACACTAGACACAATATCACATATTAAACAGAGACAAAAGCAGAAGCCCAACCTGGATTTTACAGAATTGTCAAGATTTAACCAGCTTTCATGTGCCGCGCCCGTAACAAGTACGCCGAGTAAAACGACGACATTCTGATTCAACAATAAAAACAGCTGTTCTCAACTCTTAAAATTTACTTCACACATGCAAATGCCCAAAGCTGCTGGTATATCTCTTCAGCATGTGAATTTGTCAGATCCCAAAGTTGTTAAAATAAAACAGGAAGCAAAATACATGTGCGGACACCTCCATGATAATAAGACAGTATCTTATATATAAGTATTAACTGTGTAATACAGGTTAGAAGTCAACTTTAAACTTTCGGTGTCACTCCTTTCATATTGATGTCTCTCACCACTCAGTGAAACCACAACAGTACACAGATACATAAAATGACTTTGAATACCATTCAGATTCGGAGTTATTGACTGGTGACAGAAGGCTTAGATCCCATTTTAGTCCATCTGTGAAAAGGTTTGATGCTTTCCTATGTCCTTTTTGAGTGAGCAAACTGAAGGAACTGACACCACTTCTTCTTGGAGTTTACGACGGTGTGAAAATCAGTATTCCACAGTGATGTATTTCTTCCTTTGTGTTTGAACTGTATTCCTATGTCTTTTGGTGTGTCTTGAATTGGTGGGAAGCAGCGAGAAAATGGATCGGACCCTCAGTCATTTTTTGAAATTTCTTAAAATTGTTAGATCTCCTCTTTGCCTACAGTACAACCAGGAGAAGAGATTCAAACTGTTTAGCCATTCATAGTATGATGTGCGTCGGTGGCACAGTGGTTAGGACTCTCGCCGACCATGCACATGGTCCGGGGGTTCGAGCCCGCACCGACGCACATCTGATATCTATGGTCGGCCTGCGAAATTTGGGCTACCGATATCCATGCTGAAAATTCCATACTTGTACCAAAAATACAGTGTGGAATCAAGCTGTAAATCAAAAAAAAAGATAAGCTTGTAATTGCAAGAATCATACTTGTTGCCTTCATCTGAACACCTTCTAGAATGCGCGAGTCTATCTGAAGATACGTGGTCAGCTGTCTCGATGCAGCTTTCCAGCCTTGACTTCCCCAGAGAGGCAAATAAGGAAGTGATTCTAGTGGACTATGTGTTTGTCCATAAAGATCCGTAAACTTTGAGCTTCCACTACACGACAGTATGATGTAGCTTTTAGGTAGTGGACTATCATGACACCTAGATCCATACGCGTCCGAACTGATAGAAGTCTAAGTCCCTCTAGCCCGTATGGGATGACGCTCGCATGTCCAGTGCGTGTAGTTTCGTGCTTCACAATAGTGTTTTGGAACATCCATTCTTTGGGCCGATCTGCTAATTTGTTGATGTCTCCTTGAAAGACAAGGATGCCGCTATCACCATTCAGCTGTCCTCATATTTCAATTCATCTGGGAAGATAACGATATAGGAATCGTCGTGAAGCGAGATAAGTAAGAGAGGATGATTACGGTGTCTTGTGGCACTCCACTGTGTACCGATGTTCAGGAGGATATTTTAAAGGTGATCCTGACTCTGTGTCGTCTTCTTATAAGGAATTACCTAATTCAACCTTATAATCCTCTCTTGGCACCAAAACTCTCCAATTACATAGGTTGTCTTTTATGAGGTACTTCGTCAAAGGCTTCACTGAAGTCTTAAAAACGACGTCGACAGGTTTTCTACTGTCCTTTGACTTAACCCAACTTTATTCTGCCTTAAGAAGGTTTGTTAAGCATGAGAGATTTCCCTGGAAGCCATACTATACTCTGAGCAACAAGCCGCTGTTTCCTAGGCAGTCCATAGCAGCTTTCTTTCTGGTCCATTCCAGCATCTTGATTCAGGTGCTGGTGAGACTGGTATGCCTGTGTTTCAAAGGATAGTGTCTCGATCCTCATCCCAGGATGAAGTTACCTTTACATCTTTCCACCCGTGGCGTAACACTCTATTCAAGAGAGACAACTTGAAGATAGAGCCAGTTATGTGAGCTGCTAGCTCCTTGAAGGGTCCTGTTTGAGAGCCACTGGTCCCTGTTGCTATTGAGAGTGACGGAGAAGTATTTTGAGAAGTAGTCTGCTATCGTTTTTGCTTTTTTCGGGTTTACTTTGGTTGTGCCTTTATCAGCAGTCAGGCCAGAGACCTTGTTGAATGTCTTGCTCACGTAGTTGTGTTACTGCGTTTTGAGCTAGATGTGTGTCAGACTTCATTCCTGATCGATGAACGGCGAAAGATTTTTCCTGATGACGGTGTGCAACCTTTTAGTCTCAGAAGTCTCACATGTGATATACATGTTCCGGCATTTATGCTCACGCCTGAGTAAACTACAGATCTCTTGGCTTACTCGTGGAACGAAATGCTTCTGAACCTTCGGGATAGACCGGTGGATAAAGAGTTGGATTCCCCAGAGCCTAAAGTAACGTCAATTTGCTAAATGCAGCTTCCACGTAAGATTCCGAATATTTTTTCCAGTCTTGTGATGCGGCCGCTGAAATGAAGGCATTCACGTCGGCTTTCCAGATGTTACATTCGAGCTGGGTTTCGGCCCACGATTACGCTATGGATGTGGGCCTAAAAATGAGCACATCATGGTTAGTTCTTCCTAGGAGTAGGGAAAAATGCGTAGGGTCCACCTCCTTCCCTCACGCTGTAAAGAAACCCAAGGAAGAGTAGGGTTACTGTGAGTCACACACCACAGGCTTTGTCAATGCAGTTGAAGATTGAACGATCGATTCGTGGTTGTTTGCTTAAACTCAACTCCTCCATAATTTTCGCGGGAGTCATCAATCCACCAGTCATCGTCTCACCGGTCTCTGTTCAGAAAGAAGATCAAAAAACTGTCAGAAGTAATATCGTGATTTATTGTTGTAATATTTGTTCTTAGACCTTACTCTGTAAAAGCAGCATTGCTGGTTATATGTTGGCGTTAGAATAGAGAATTCTTGAGTCACCAAACAGTGTTTTGGTCTTTGCGTCGGTTAATACTAAGCGTTTCTGAAAATCTTCCAGGGGAGCTTGAGGCCCAGCGTAGAAAGAGCTGGGCATTAACGGTTTATGAGAACTGACTGACAGTTTCTGACAGTTGGATAGTCTCGGTCCGTCTTTCCTGGTGCCGGCCAAGTCTTCTTTGAACAAGCGTCATCTGGAAATTTTCTGGAATTCGGTCAAGTTCAGTGATGCCTGGGTCAAAGAAGGGACAGAGCGTCTTGGAAGCAAACAGGAAAGTAAGTCATGTTGACTTGCCTGTTATATGGAACGATGTGTTTGATGTTAGGCATGATATGGTTGATGTTAATGTTTCGACATCTAGGGATAATAGGAAAAGAAGCTTCCTAAGTACGAACCTCACTGTTTCGACGGCAACCCAGTTGAAAATTTACAGTTTGTAAAAGAGTTTGAAATCATGCTGAGTAGTTTTAATTGAGTGATGAAATGAAGTTGATGTATTCGTTGAGGTACTGAACTGGAGTTGTTGCAAGAGCTATACGGTGCTGTAAGTCCGTGCCCCCAAACGAAGGTACTCCAAGGCTATGAGTATACTGCATCAAAGATTCGGAAAATCTTCGATTATTGTAGGGAGGCTGCAAAAGGTAATGGTAGTCAATTACAAGATGACTTCAAGGCACTCTCTGAGTTTTTGGATGATCTGACGACTTACAAGAATACGTTGATTATGATGAATTGCATGAGCGATCTGAACTCAAGTTCCATCCTAGAGGTAATAGCGAGGCGCCTACCTACTTGACTGCAAAGGGAGTGGGTGAAGATAAGCTCCCGTATAGAGGATAAAGGTACTGAGCCAAAGTTCGATGATATTCTGAAACTGGTAAAAGGTAGTGTCAATCAAGCTATGAGCAAGTATGTCAGTATATCTGTATCGCGGTACGTTCAACGTTTGCGCTGCATTTTTACGTGATTCGTTACATAAATTTTATCTTTTTGTAATACTTGCACAAGTGCTATACTACTTCCATACTTGTAACCATTAACGCTTATTTCTAATAGTTATGGTTAATCAAAGTAAAAAGCAACGAACCCAATCCCCTGTAAAACTGGTATCTAATTTAACGCCCTCGATTGCTACATCAAGCAACACACACCCTACAAACAGCCTTAGTGGGTCACATAACTCACTTGCATGCCATAAGCGTCGAGCTGGAACTGAGGATAAAACTCTAGTGACAGCTAGCATTAGCACTACTCCTAAGAATTCAGTACCCTCTGCTCATACAGAACTCCTCCCTCTTCACCTTATGTACTTATCGAAAAACTCCATTCATCAAGCTCTTTTTCAGTACTATCTTCAGAAATAGAACTTCTAAAGTTGTCTATAGGAAAACTTAAGGCTGAGTTAAGGGAAATAAAAAACAGTAAGTCAGTAAATGATGGAAACATCGGAACCAATACCGAGATATCCAAATTATCAGATCAGATCAGCGATATCAGATCGCAGGTCCGTGAACTGACACCTCTAACTATCCACATGAAAACTGTAAACCTTAACAAGCTTGACACAGAATCGGTAACTAAGGTAGATAACCTCATTAACTTTGTTACCACAGAAGTAACAAAACGACTCGACGCAGAACTGAGTGCTATTGTCTACAACGTTCCGGACAATGAGGCACTAAAAAAGGTACAGCTCATCTTACTTAGTGAGGCAAAAATGCCTAACTCCAAGACTAAGTGCTATAGGCTGAAGAAGAGTCAACATGAAAAGTGTTGTCCTATTCGTTTTCAGTTCGAAACTCCGGTAGAGACCAGAAAATTCATCCACTCCCAACACACCCTATCGCAAGCCAGGAACTACAAACATACAAAGGTCGGGGTGGACAGAACAGTCATAGAAAGGCGCGCATACAATTATCTCGCTAAGACTAATTGTGAAATAGGTAATAGGACATTACAAGCAGCTATTACTCCCAACCCTGTGAAAGATGCCGTAGACTCCACCGGATCACCCCTCTCAAAACACACAGAACTGTCCCATCAGTGTGCAACACCAGCCGAAAGGCCACTAGACTGTAACCAAACAATAAAACCATACCACCTATCACCACAGAATCTAACATGCCACTAAA